TGAACTGTCAACCCAGTTGGACAACTGTATTTTCGAATCTGGCCTTAATGGTCTTTAATAATCTTTTCAGTACGGGTGCCAGGGGGACGCAGATAACTTAGCCAAATCAATGAACTTGTTGGTAATATGCATGAGGCTAGTGGAAACTGATTTCGAACGATCCAGATACATATATATAATCGTTGTATTTTTGTTACTTCGTTGCGTTTTCAGCTCGAACATCGTGTACTCAATGTTCTCAAGTCGAGAAGCAGCAGCTGCCTCTCAGACCGATTTGTATTTACGATAGCTCGTATCAGTTTTTATCGATGTAACCAGCACTGCGTTCACGTCTATCTTTGCATCCCGAATGATTACTGACTGTAAGGTTGTTCGCAATGTTTTTTTTTCACACACAACACGACTCGTAGTAAAGTATGTGTGTATAACAAGCGATAACGATTCGTTGCGGTAACTCATATAATTTTCTTTGCCTTTGAGGAAGGTCACTTCGATTCGTTTTTAAAGTCCTTGAACGGACAGTTTACGCACTCGGCACGATCTGACTCATCACTGACTAGACATTTTGGTGACTGATGTTTCTTCAAAGGAACGGAGCCGACGTTGTTTAAACGGACGTAGATTCGTCACGGCGTCAATTTGGCTCGTAGGTACGATTTTATATTCTTAATTTCTATTTCAATAGGACAGAAACGACAAAGTACTATAGTATACATGTCACTGAATCAGCGGTCTATAACAAAACGGTTGTATGTATACGTAGATTCCAACTATTGAGCGGAGATGCCGTCTCGAACTTTCTGACAAACAGTTCATACTAGACATTGCGGCTGCGGCCCGTCGTAACGTTATGAAATTTTGCGAATGAAGATTAGCAGAACCGTGGTTCGATCGAAAGGCTGGTTGCGTTGAACCTTCTTTTTAGCTAACGTAGTTAGTAACATCTCGTATACAGTTATTTGGTACTCTGCTGTGCAGCTATGGAGGTTCTACACATTAAATCCAACGATAGTCAGATATCGACTTTATTAAGGGCTTCTTTTAGTGTTTGTGCAAGCTCGAAGATGCGTAACTGGAACGTTACGGTGGATGCAGTCACGACGCGTGCGAGCGTATTTCTTGTCAAGCTACCAGCCATTACGAAATAAACAGGCTTAATACGAGCACAACATGGCGCAGTCCTAGTTTCCTGAAACTCTCATTAGAAAATTCCTGGCGTACGACAGGAGGAGGAACAGTAAAAGCCAGTGAGCGACTGGTCCCGCATAAAAGTTGGTGGGTCATGAAGAATTGCCGTTATTGGTAGCCATTTATTTAAACAGTAATAGTGGCCTCGCCTAGATATGTACATAGATGTATTTGATTTTTGTTGAATGTATTACAAGAGATTTCATAAAATGAACAGTGGACCGGTATGAAGCCTCGACGTCAAGGAACCAGAGGACACTGACGGTCGCACGTTCATCTAGGGGGCCGTCTGATGTCACAACTGAATAGGTATCATGTAGGCGTAGTCATATTTACCTTTAGTTAGCTATAGACAATGGAGTAGACAGACTGCATTACAGGCTACTACGTGTGCCGGGTACTGTGTCATTGATTAGTAAAAGCTCGGGCGTATTTGACCACCGGAAAAAGGTGAAGTTGTAACGGGGCATCATCGTTAGAAGTTTCGAATCAACGCTGTTTATTTAAATCTCTAAGGAAATATACTCATCAAGGAAGCTAAGCTACGCGACAAGTCGTAAAGCCAACGAAACTGTGCGGCGTCCAGGAATACAGGAAGAAAATCTACACTAGCTTAAGATCTTTTGCAGTCGATGCCGCGATTGCAGATGCTAATAGAGCCAAGCAATAATCTCATAATAATCCATCTTTAGGGACCCAATTGTCGAACCCTACAACCAGTAAGACTGGCATCTTTCTGCTGTGCCGAAGGGTCTTGAACTTGATTGCTGCAGTTTATAAAAACATATACGCTCGCAGCAGGACATATATTACTGTCTTGCTTATCTGAACGTAACATAAAATGTAATACGTTTTCAAAGCTTTATACGGTCAAAAAACGGGTATTCAGTTCAATTTCTTCAGCTTTAGCTCATTCGGACCATCCAGACGTCAAAAGAGGCCAACTCTGGGTGTAAGCTTTGGGCTCAAAATATATGATATTCGAAACACCCGTAGAGCAAGTCAGCCTTGAATGTTTTTGTCGAGTGATCGTTTCCGTTGCATCTTCAAAACTCAAGTTATTTTAGCCCATATTGGCAGTTACTTTCTCTCTCTCCACGTATATACATCTCCCAAACTGGAGCTACTTCCCACGTATCTACGGAACATTCGTTGGAGTGTTGAGAATTGAATGTATCCCTTGTAAAAATGACTTCCCCTGACAAGAAAATCTTGTGTACCATTGACAAGCGCCATTGGCATGGTTATGCCAACGTCCAGAGTCATCTATATTCGAACTCAAATATGTGCAAACCATCCTTGAGATATCCGTTTGATAATCGGTAGGGGGCAGATACACTACTCGCATCTTCGTCCAGTTTGAGAAATAACATATGTCAACATAAATCCGCCAATGGACGGCCATGCTCGATAATAGATACATGTAAAGTTTTTGTGTTCTCTCGTTTCCCAACCAAGACAAGCTAAACATGACAAATGCAGCCCGTTTTTTTTTCGATTATTCATTGGACACGTGCTCCGACCGTCCATATCGAATTCAACGAGATTGAGTTACGGGACCACTAAGCATGGGACATCTCCATATCATACGCACTGGCTGCATTTTGCTTTCCGGTGGAACGGGATAGAGGTTAGCCAAGGTAAAACTGTTATGGTTACACCGGTGGAAGCGATTTGTTTTGGAAGACAGATTAACTTTTATTGAAGTGTCTCGATCCCGAGGGCGTTCAACTGAAGTGCTGTAAGTAGAAAATACCCTTACTGACAGAATCAAGCTACGTTATCTGTTAAATGTTATACAAACTATATATACATTGAATTTGACAGAACCCCTTAGATAATGAGCGTGTTTACATATTCTAAAAGTAAATACGCCAAACACCATTCAAGCAGTGGGAAAATTCGCAACCCCACCTAAGTATCTCTTTGTTCTGGGACGAACGGGTCCTTCCGTTAGAAACTCGATAGACAAATTGATATAAATTGTTTTCGAACAAAATGATACAAAGGATCTAACCGGGATCGACATACGATCGTGTACGAAAACGTCATATTCTCTTAAGAGCACGTAAATGGTAAACACCGAATAGGGCTTGATCTATTATTTCGTAATAGTCTGTTTTTTGGTCGAGTAGGGGCTTGTGTGAACTTCTAACAGTACATGTGTTGTCAATATTTTACTAAATTTACGTATTTTCGCCATTTGAGCAAAGACAAATACTGAACGTCGTGGTGCAAAATAGAGTAGGTTCCTAAAAGCAACGGTGCGCGAAGTTTTTTTCTGATCCTAACCTAAGGGGTACAGCATTGATTCTATTATTGTTAGTGTGCAGTACCCATGATATGTGGATTAAATTGAGATGAATCTTAGAAATTACCTCTGTAATTGAAGAAAACCATTGGAAATCGTTCCGGTTTTGCCCAGATAATGCCTTAACAGAATGAAGACATCTTTGAAATTTGGATAGTAACCTCAACGCATTCGGTTTTAATTAAATCACCACATTCAGGAGATTCATTATTTTTTGGTCGAGGTCCCCCTGACCGACTCATGCACGCGTGAAGCTTCGATAGAGCCGCCTTAATCTATGTAGACATAAAAATAATAACACGAGTGAACAAAAAGTATTCGTTTTATTATCAACAAATACAGTTATTAACCCTCTCAGTAATTACGTGTATAGAACTTATACAGTTTAAGACGTACACGGACAATTTTCTTAATATACATATTTATATTATGTTTTCATGGGGGCATTTGTACGTATGTAGTGAACTTCAAATTCGAATCAGCTAAAGTGAGAAGAAAAGTTATAGTAATTGCAGTATGGTGCAATCACATTATTACTGTATAATACTTAATAATGGCAATAGTTATGTAGTTGAATGATTACGACATTGGGAAGTCATAAAATGGACTTGACGTCATCATGACTTGCCGATATTAAAATTTTATCATTTGGCCTTTGAAGCAAATAGTAAGAAAATGAAGTCAATATCGCGCTGACCGGCCACAAAAACTAAAGAGGCACACAAGGTTTACGTCAATGGGATTCATCATGTAAAATTTGGTGACGTATTCTTTCTACGTAAAAGCTGGCCAGCGTTTTCTAACATTTCAACGAACTCGGGCCTTTATGATCATGGGTTCGCAGCGCTATCCACCCCGTTGCCGCATCAAGTAGGCCCTCAGCCTGTCGAGGTATTGGGCTGTCTCCTTCGTCTATTGTGGATTCATTACTATATAGTTTCTAAATAGTTGTAGTAGGCATATGAATAATTAGAGATATTTTCAGTACAGGAAGCAGCTACCACGTTTCGTCATCTTAGCATCATGACTTATTATATAGTAACTAATTAATCATTCGATGTCCGTTGATAGTCACAGATTTAGGTAGTTGGCGTATTTTTTCGAGGCTTGAAACCTTTTCTATCTATATTTTCTTTTTAGCGCCACTGAATTATTGTCAAAAGTAAAATACGCTATAGACAGTCGTGTAACTCCTATCGAATCGATAAGGTAGAAAGCATCACAGAGGTCAGACGCTAGTCGTATGTTCACGTATGAAGAAGGTTTGCGATCCTGACTCTTACCGATGCCGCTAACGTAGGCACAAACGTGAACAGAAAACGAACAAACGAATAGGACAAATTTCCTATGCGACGTCCTGTTACGGCGCCAAACTTACTTGATTGACAAATCTGTTTACTAACATTTTACGTTTACGAACCAAATAAAATCACCCTCGTTGTCGCGCTGAAAGCAAATACGTATGTATGTATGTGGAAAAAAAAAAACGAATACAAAAAAGTAGCTTCTGACGACAATTTTATGCACGTTTCTCTATCGCTCCATACATATTTACAGGGAAAGTTCGAACTGGATATGGTGTTGCGCCTTGATGTCTATAACGACCGCTATTATACGGAAAGCCGTGAAGAATTCTAGCAAGATTCGGTAAGAAATGGGCGTTTCGATCAGTTAGAAAGGCTCTTGTGAAGGTGAACGGTGATCATTGTGAAGAGGGGATTTCGGTTGATCGAGAGCACATCGTAGCGTAGGTCGCTTAAACCATCGTATTTCCATTTGGCTTCGGTTTCTAGCAGCAGAGAAAACCGGCCGGGGTTTGGTGTTGCCTTGCCGTGGCTTAACATTGTATACCTTGATAACATACAGACATTTGTATATATTAGGATACTTGATCTAAATCTATAAACTGGACCGTCGATTCGGTTTAAACTGTACCTATCCAACGTTGTATGTTATACAGAATTTTTTTTGGCTGATATAGAAGAACAACGATGTGCCATCGTAGTCGTGCAGTGTAGCACAATGTATACATTAATGTGTGTACTACGCTATCAGTGCGAATGCAAACAACAAAATCCGTACAACAAAATGATGTCGAGCTGCTTTATGCTTTTGGAACAAGTTTCATATGTATAAAACTGCGGTGTAGATTATCTATATATATATACATAGTACTCGGGGCGATTAGGCATGCGCAGTGGGTCACGGATATTAGGATAGACGCTGAAAAAATACCTGGATATATGAGGCGGCCAACGAGAGATCGTAAGACCAGCCAGACGTAGACGCAAAGCTAAGTCATCGTCCTCGGCACCCCAACCCCAGAATCGATTGGAAAAGCCATTCACCTGAAATACGGGACGTTAAAGCATATTCTCCTGGTGCTAGCAAAATTCCAAGGAAAACGTTCCTTACCGGCAACGCTAATCAAACGAACCCCCGAAGACTGATGCTGATAATAAATTTATGACTACTTTAAAGACTAAATACGATCTATGTAAATATATAAAAGATATTTTGATCGCCTTATTGAAAAAATCTGTATACAGTAGGTATTTTAGAAAGTGATAGTTTACTACGCAGTTCATTAGGCCGCTTAAAATAAGTTTCGTAATTGCCTGGACGTACTTTCGATTTGTAGCATACATTCAACATTGTAACAAAAGATATATTTTGTAGACTTGTTATGTTAAAAGATCTAGGGATCGTCAGGACATGCCACAGGTTGTCCTGTGTCGTTGCACGAAATAAAAACGAAACAAGTCCTAAAAAACTGCTTCACCTTTAAAACGTGTTCGCGTTGCATAGCAACCACACCTCCAAAGATGTTACTGTATGGTACGACGTAACGAAACGTATCGATTGCCACGCACATATGCCGTGGATGGCTGCTACATGCATACGCATTCTGTAATTTAAGAATCCAAGTAATCTCATTTAATTCGGAACACAGACTTCTTCATTAGTGCATGGTCATGCAGCATGAACCTCATCTGTACTCCGTGGGTCCTTCATTTTTATCAGAGCAAAAATTACTACAATCATCATGAAAACAAAACTTTACCAAATGATTCGAATAATTTGTTACCTGTGGATTTTCCGGAAGCAGGTCCACATCATGAAAAATAAAACAGCAGAAATTGTCAAAATCTCTAAGTGCCTCACGGAAGCCGACATTGAATAGCATCCCTCGGTTGAACTGGCCTTCCTTGTCCTGTTGAATTATGTATATCGCATACGCAATACCTTGCCCGGCAAGGAAGTCATGCATATGTTGAATAAATAATTCGAGGTGTTCTGAACGATTCCGGTAAGGTACCTTTGGAAATATACAAAGTTAGCTTTCTTGCTTTTGTGTCTATAACGATAGTAACAATTATGACTGAGTCGTTTATGAACCGAGATCATTATTATTGCTTTACCACAATGGCTGTGCGATATGCTGGCTCGCAGCCTTCCGGTTGTATTAGCGATAGACCGCTTTTATTAAAATGTTTGTTAAGTCGCCTTTCGAGTGATCGCAGGTACGCCTCATTAACTATCCGACGAACGGGACCATAGTTGCGACTGTTAGGGATGAGCTCGCAGTGGCCTTGTACAGGCACGCATGACACCACATCATCAAGAGACGTGTAGGACACACCCCAGCCTGTGGGGCATCGAAGAGCTAGTAAAAACAGGATAACGGCTATGAGCATAAGCCAATGTTCGCACGCCAGTGCGCGAATCTTGCTACGTAGTTTGGAACTACCCATGACGAAATGAGGTTCAACTGTTGCTGTCGTAGATAACGGCCGGTCGTCCGGAAACTGACCTACAGGCCTTCTATCTTAGCTGGCCTGAATTTTTACGTGAAGTCAACGAAGCACCGAGGATTGCGAAGCTACTCATTAGGAAGAGGTTGCAAGTGGCATAAGCGAATTCTCACTCCACTGGCCACGCGTGCCGACAGACTGCAATGAGTTACAGTAGAAAGAAAAGATTTAGACGACAATTAAAAAACAATTTGTCAATAATTAGATAAATATAGAGAATATTTGTTTCTCAGACGTATATCGTTTTTAACAATGCAAGTAAAGTGTTCGTTTGATTTGACATTGCTCATTTCGGGTTACCCTATATCGAAACGTGGCTTTAAAAAATCTTGAACGTCGGCTAAAGTATCCAAGGGCAAAAATAGCAAAAGTTACTGTTGAATAAGATATACATCGAAAACAGAGTTTGATCTCTGTATGGAAGATGACGACTTTGTTTGATGTTGTGAACGAAACAAGCATTTATATATATAGACGCTTGAACAAGTTAATATATATACAAGACTGCTGCTTCCTGCAAAGACGACCTTCACCGTGAGCAACCATTACAAAAGCAACTCTCTCTATTTATTTATGACCATTGCCTAGGCAAAAGGCGTCGGCGCAACACCGTATGTATCATCGTTCGTATTCTTACCGTACTTCTATTGTACAGGCTAGCCCGAAAGTACCCTTTCGTGTTAGGACATTATTCGGTCCCAAAGATGATAATCCACTTGTTTGAGTGCGCAGCGGGCGGCAACGCAGAATATTTGATGTAGCGCTAGACATGCGGTCTAGACACCGTTGTATCTGGCTCAGTCACAAACCATGAATAGTATTCGTGTTTTGTGGGTCACGAGGCAAAACGTTGGTAAATAATGCCTTTACCTAACCACGCGACTCTGAAGGACGTATCAAAATCGAAACGTCAATGAGCGAACATTATCATGACTAGCGAGTCATGTATATACGAGTTTCTATTGCTATTTACAGTTCTCAATGAAACTTTGCATTAATCATATAACAAAACGAGGTGCGGGGTTTATAGACGGTCGCATTGCGACAACTATTGTACACCTATCCTACCACCGGTACACATCGATACCAGAGAAAGGCTTCGCTAAAGAAGGAATCTCTTCGTGATAGAAAACATGGAAGCTCGTTATTTTAGCGCAATACTATATTTGAAAGCATACTATATTAATTAACTATTACTAATGAATTAATTAGACGAGAATTGGTTGTTAATTAAACCCTTCCCATATAAAGTGCAGCGCAGCCCAGCCCAGTTATGAGAGTAGGGTATTTTTATGTGCCTTATCTATGCAAGCGAAAATCATGCATATTGCCGTGTTGTTCTCTGCTATATTCCGCCGGCGTGTATTGTCACGTCTTGGACGACGTAATGAACAGTATGTAATACGTTCTACCGAGTGTTTATCCTTCTTTTTTTTTTTCTTCTCTCCGCTCGCCTTTTGCGTTATTAGTATATTCAAGTTACTAGTGTTAGCATTATGTACTTCATTTCTAAGCGCCTCGACTTGTAGCGCATGTTCTGCTTTCGAACTCCACTTCACTTCCAATTCAACACACACTTTATCCTAGAGTATTTTGAGGCGAATAGAAAAACGTAAGTTATTATAGCGTTATTAAATGTAAAGTGGTAAACTACTATCAATTTAAGATGATAGTTTTTGTCCTGTACTTTTTTTGTGGGCTAGATATGTATTTTCGACAATGACAACAATATTACCTGTATCTGCATTGATCACTTAAGAAATTGGCATTCGTTTTATCCGCTAAATTCACATATTAGAACAATCTCTTATTGTATTTAATCTATCAAAGCTCATCTGATAAAAGCTTCAACTCACATGACATTCAACTCAGGAGAATATCAATATGAGGTCGTTCAAAAAATTATTTCAACAACTTCCATGCTATATTGGCTTCAGTAGAAACTATTGATTCCTCCAACTTCGATTCTCACCTTCTTATCAGGTCGCCGACACAACAGGGGCCCTCACATTTTCAGGACCGCATACAGATGAATGTAGAAAATTGCTTTTCAATAGGCTTTCACTACGAGATTCCGGCTCCAAGACATACCGTCGTATGTCCGAACAGCGCACCCACTGCACGCTCGCCTAAACGCAATGAAAATCTGTCTAAATCACAAGAACTAGATAATATCTAGTCAACTTATATTCGAAGTGTATGTCCAGTCCAACGACTACAAGCTCACGTAACTTCACTACAGGTTCTCATTGGTGTACCTTTTTTTAGCTATACTTTTTTGTAAAAGCGTGTCCTAACATAACACATAGAGCAATATACAACATTCATACACAAGCCGGAGTTCCGCCCACTGCTTTAGACTAGATTTAGAAATGCAACCAGCTACGACTCATCCGTCAGATAGGCACGTGTCTTCGAGAAAGAGTAAGGGTACGGTTATGCGAAGGGCGGGCAACGGCAATGCGTCCCCTTTGAGAAATAGCTAAACTGCAGAAGCTGGACCACCAACTAGAAAAAAGGGGGCACATTAAAACGTTCCAACATAGATGATGAAATGTCCAAATCGTTTGTTTGTACAACTAGTTAAAAAAAGTATCTAAAAAAAGGAAAAAAAGAAAGTATCTAAGAAGCTAAACGACGAACGGTTTGGACGTATTTAGTTTTAGGGCGATATAATTCAATGAGCGTTTGTGCCATAATAATATTAAGAAAATATTTTTTCCGGGAAAGGGTAGGAAAAATGAAACGAGAACGTATACCAAAGGAGAGGGTACACATGCACTTTTACCCGTTGGATGAATCAACAAACAAGTCGACCTGAAGACAGAATGGTCTCATGTGCGGCTCGCCGACGAGTAGCATCGAAAAGTCAATTAGAGCTTTTACTGTTAAAAAACCAAAACGATCAGACTCCGTGATTTTCAATAAATTGGACCGTAAAAGTGCTGCTGCTATTTCCGCAGCTCTTAAGTTCTATTTGGCAAACGGCATACATTAGACTTAGCTTTAGGACGGACGTCATTATAGTTATTGGCAATTAAGATCGTCATGTAGACACTGAATACACATGTTTGGTCACTCTTAATACGTCCGAGAGCTATAATTATTTGCCCATATTTACGCTAAGACGTACCAAAACGACAAAGAGGGTCCTGATGGCTTTAACAACTGAACACATGCTGCATGTGAAAGTCAAACGGATGCGATGGGGCTGTCTCTCAAAAAAGAAAATCAGAACAGGGTAGTAGACAAAGGGACCCTGCTTGGTGGAGTTTATCCTGTCCCATACAGTCACCTGAACTAAAAGTGATCATACGCATATAATCAGCTAAGGTTAGTCTAAAGATAAGAAGCACATCTCGCGATTTGAACTACTTTCACAATAATTTATTTCATAAGATGGTCAACACTAATTCCGTGACGCGCAAAGAATCTATATTGGTCCAATCGTGCCACAGTCGATACCGCATTTTGTCACTCTCTCGAAAACCACTGGACATAAACACTGGTCCCGGTGAGAACAATACAGCGTACCCTAGCTCGCTCTTCGTACCTTTCGACGTCTCTCTGCGTCGGTTTTAAATACGCGAGTTGTCCTGCAGCGCAAGCGGTACCATGCGATGTGGCACATATCGAATGGACCCATCGGGTTTATGTGCACTTAAGATGCCCTGCAAGCCAACAAACGAAAAACAATCGCAGTAGTAAATCGTAGATTAAACTAAGACGTAACATGAGAAAACAGATTAGTTTTAATTTGCAATAAATGCCACGATCTGACTGACGGTATTTAGTTGTCTCTTGCAGACTCCTGGATAGCTATATGTTACCTATGTGCTTCCACGTTACCAACAACGGAAATCGGTGGTCTATAGGTGACTGTACCTTGAGAAGGTCAGCGGCCCGCTCCGCGACCATAATGACGGGCGCATTCGTGTTGCCTGAAGGGATTTTTGGAATGACAGAAGCATCAACGACTCGTAGACCCTTAATGCCTTTTACCCTGCGACGCGCAAATATTCATGTTTTCATACCGTTGCAATGCCATCAAATGCGGTAGTGTCCGGTTTTATTTAGAAAATTGGTCATAAAATAACAGTGATTGAATTTTATGCATTGGTATTCAAAAATATCCAGGATGAATAAATCACTCAGTAACGCGTTCTATAATTTCTATTCATCAAAAAAAATATATATGTTTTAAAGTATATTACAATTCGTCGTTAGTAATCAACCCCAAGTATGTATCACTAAAAAACAAAAAACGTTTACCGAAGAAGAGGGTCGACCACGGTGCTGGGATCCTGTGGACTACCCATTTTGCAGGTTCCGACTGGATGGTATATTGTGGCGGTATAGGTGCGAGCGAGACATGCCAAATATTTGTCCGATCGAACCGGATATATTTCGCAACCTGAGTAAGCCGAGACGGTTTTGTTATTAAACATGCCGACGAGCAAAGGGAGAAGTGATCGTTACATAATCATCGATTATCTAAATCTCGATAAAAAAAAATACACAAAGTGGCAGCAATAGTGTCAGTAACAGATTTTGGGTTTTGTTAACACTGAGCGATGATATAACGGGAGGTCGTAAGGTACGTTAACATAAGTGTTGATGTCGGGTATCGCTATTTGCTGCTCATATGAGCCTACTGCGGTAGTATCTAAACTTAGGTTACCCGACCTGAAAATAAACGTTTCAAGTTTCGCGTTCGATAGCGCCGTTGAACATTGCTTCAGACGCCTAGCCCCTTACAATATGAAAAAATATGTCTACGTCCAACTCGGAACCTAGATCAGCACGTGCCGTTGAGTAATCAGGCTCACACGTAGAACTTCATTGATAAAAAGGCGCCAAATCTCAGATGGAGACAATACGTTTTACTTGAATCTCGTTACTAAACATACCTGGGAATATCATGCTGAATGGCCGAGCCCCGAATTTTTTGAATGGCTCCGACATGCCGATAGCAAAGCATTGTTTCATCGCTAAAATAAACAAAATGATTTGTGAGTAGAGATTTTTGCGAAATGATCTGATCTCCTGATCTACCAACCGTCATATAACATTAGAGGGACTGCGAAAATTTGTGTAGACTGCTTTGGCAGGTGCTGAGGGACACTTATAATCCAGCCTTCTGCTACCTCTTGCATTAGGCTGCAGCGCGTCCTATGCTGCTCCTTTCCGAAGACCCCTGTTCCCATCTGAACAAACTAGTGTCTTCGGTGGCCTATTCTCGGATTTACATTATCTCTTGGTGCTAAAAATTACTTCGAGGAAACCTGCAACGTCATATGTAACAAACATCTACTCCTTGAAGTTGCTCGAAGAACTTAAGTGGCTCAAAATATGCAAAAAGAACTCCAATTGTTGCGAAAGAATAGACGTTAGCTGCACTTGAACTCAGGCTAGGCACAAGGACATTTATAGCACATAATAACCTATCCAGATGTAAAATCATTCTATCCGTAGGTGTACCTTCGACGAGGGTAAGAACGTCTTCATTCTTTGTGAGGTACCTCGGATTGATGAGTGGCGGATCGTCAGGGTCTGAGGAACGCAATTTTACGTAACCTCGAGATCGAGGTCGCAAAAGCACTGGATATAGAGTAAATGAGTCAAGGTTTAAATAGGGTCGATATACTCGTTCGAAAAACTGCAACGTAATACATAAATGTATAAATTATAATACAAAGTCGAGTTTCCAGATTTGTTTGTCGAAGTCAGTCTTCGTATTTTACGTAAGTAACATGCAAGCAACTTTAAACTTAACAAGCCGGTTTTATCAGCGTCCACGGTACATATACGTTAACAATGCTGGCCGACCTCAAACATTGTATCCCAGAACCGTATTTAGAACCGGAGAAAGGATTTCTCTAACAAGCAATTGAAACATATGAAACAATAACGGGTTAAAGTGTGCCCAGACTCATTTCAATCGAACATATGGTATCGATGGCTGGATTTTCTTAAACAAATTTAATATATGTTGGATAAGGCATCTTTCCGTTAACGATACGTAAAGCATTACAAAGTGCGTTATGGATACCTACTTAAAAAACTGGCGGAAAATAACTTGCAGTCAACATAGGTAGTTACCTTGTCTGAAATTCCCATGACTTTTTTAATCGTAGATCCTCCATCACCAGCTGGCGAGGAAGATATAAAATGGATTTCGGCGTCTGGCCAATCTCCAGTGTCATTGTTATATTTTGTTTTCAAGAAGCCGACCCCCTCAACACCACCCAGCAGCGTCAGGGGGCCGTCCTTGGCAAAAATATATTGGATTACCTAAGAAATGAAATAAAAACAACAAAAAAATTAGAACTATAATACATAAGCTGTAAAAAAAATAGCAAGTTAGTTGTAATAATTTTAGTAATATATTTTCAAAGTAAATAAACGGACTTGATTCTCTTGAATTTAGTTACCTTATCAAGGCCGACTCTTTTGCGTACGACTGAAAGCGTCTGGTTGATTTGAAAACTTAACCCAGCAGCCCCAATATGGTCATGTAGATTGCGGCCTACTGGAAGGTCCATGACTACCGGAATCTGCCAAGCAAGATAAACACCACATGGTCTGTATTTGACGAGGAGCACATTAATAATGATCTATTCACTATACGTCTTGCGACTGACGTTCGACAATAGGGCCTGTTATTGGATTATATGCAAGTTCGTTATGTTGGAAGATGGTCGACTCAGCCCACGTATATCACAGAGACGTCTTCCGAAAGCCTACTCGGACCTTGATACTGCGAGCTATCCATCGTGCAGTGATTAATATTAATAGAATATATTCCGCAATAGGTAAAGGAAAAGGTTTAATGGAGTCAAACGGACGAGGCTATTGGCTGGACTGACTTATTTTCTTTGTTATATATTCGTTTCGATATAGACAACCATCGAAGTTAGCTCCGGAGGCATTATTAAACGCTTTTCTGTGCACAGGAGACCAGGATTAGATACAATATCTTAACTGATTTTTGGTATACTGAAGTAAAGGCCAACCGTTTAACATTTATTTTAATGTGTTTGACAGGTGGGGAAAAAAAGCTTTTGAGCGGCCGTCATCATCTTTCACTAGCTGACAGTACGAACGACAAAAATCGGACAGACAAACAGTCGGACAGAGAGACAGACAATCGGATAGACAGACAGTCGAACAAATTTAGTAACAAATGTGATTTATTAATGGTATACGTCCGTAATATACAAACGGACGTATTAACGGGGCTTCTACCAATCTACCTGGTATACAGACTGTACTTGCCCCGAGCGATCGAAGATGCTGAGCAGGTCCGATTCCCGACAGCATAAGGATTTGCGGTGAATTGATGGAGCCAGCAGAAAGGATAACTTCGCGATTGGCATGCACCGTTCGCAGACGGCCTCGAAGACGAAACAGAACGCCAATACAATGCCTCCCTTCAAGTAACAGCTGTGAAATAATAGGACATTTAATTGCCTCAAGAAGCTACAAGCACATGCTACCTTCCACTTACTTGTGTTAAGCTGTTTTTACGATTCCTATGAATCGGAACCCGATGCAGTCCAAACATAGCACCCGCTAATAGCATGATTTGAAATTTCGAGATACGCTCAAATCCGACTCGAATAAATCCACTTGAGAATTTACGTACGTAAATAGCCTTCTCTTGTACACGATCATAAAACTTACCTTAAGTACTTTAGCATTAGTGAGTATGTGCAGATTCGGCCTATAGCGTGCAGTATGTAAAAATGCTTTGCTTGTGCTAACTCGTTTGCCGTTTTGAACGGTTCCCTGTGGAACGTCGAAGCGGGTCTGCAAGTGACCATTATAGTCTCCCCGAGGGTAACCCAGAGTTTCTCCAGCAGCCACGAATGCTTCTCCTAACGGGGTACGGAATGGGGCTCGCTCTACGGTTACTGGACCCCCCGTCACGTGGTAGCTGTCAACATTCAAAATAAAAACAGGTCAATTATAGTAATCAAGGGTTATTGTGGCTATAAGATTTAATCGCTTAGCTATATATTAAGATCAATAACAACTGCAGTCTTCATAACACCTATATTTGTCGATTAAAAATGAGATTTAGAAACAGTTTCTAGGACTATATTGAGACGACCTTAGTTGAAAACAATGTTGTGTACGTTTTTTAATGCCTGTCGATTGTTCTCTTGCTATACTGTGCGCACAACGTACCCGCCCGCTAAAATATCAGGGTCTCTATTGTTTTCCGATTTCAGGAAGTAGGGAAACACTTCTTTCCATGACCATCCGGCGCAGCCTAGACCAGTGTCCCACTGATCGTAATCCTTCCGGTTACCACGCACGTAGAGCATGTAATTGAGAACACTTGATCCGCCTAATACTTTTCCTCGCGGCCATACACTTTGCTGAAAAGCATAACAAAAATAGAAAATAATATGTTTTGTGTGTATTAAATTGAGGATAGTTAATAATAACAATAAGATGGATACCTTCTATCCGTGTGAGACTTAGTCAATGTTTTGGAATCGTAAGTGCGTAAAAAGTTTTTGTTGACTTAGTGTGCTGTCGTAATGATCACAGGTTTGCCTATAGAATAGAGAAACGCGGGAATGGCCTAGGTACAGCACCGGCCGTGGGCCGTTTTGTCCTGATGGCCAGTCGTCTGAAACAATGAATAGCCATGACAGTTTTAATCGAACAACTCAAGAGCCTTATTTTTTTGAATGAATATCTCTAAACCACTAATGAGATACTACGTACCTTTAGGTTGATTGCATAAAATAATAATATATCGAAGATAGATCAAGGACTGAAATTGACTTACTGAATTACATTTGGTTTTTTTTTGTCACAACTATCGCATCATAGATCGACATAAAGACCTAGCCTTGCCTGGGTGACAAGAAGAATAAGTACATTGCTCTTACGTTACACTGTCGTAAACGATCGTCTTTAAAAAATCAATTCTAAGTTACTGTCTAAATTTACTTTGCCAGTGGTTGTAATTTTATTAAGAAACGCTAAAAAAAATGATTTTTTTTTTTGTAGTACAAGCTTTTAGTAGAAAAACATGCAGTATGTGAGTTGATAACGCAACGCAAGTATAAAAAAAAAAAAAAAGGTCCAGTAGGTACCCGATTATTGAGTCCAAAACAGGCAGCATCCTGGGGAACGGTTTTGTACTGCCAGTCAACGCGTGTTTTTTGAAATTCGGCAGCCAGGAGAGGCACGTCGTGGAGCGCCGAAGGCGAGCCTCCAGCTTCAAGGAGAAGTACTCGCATCAACGGATCCTCAGAAAGTCTCGCGGCGAGCACAGCACCTGCCGATCCTCCTCCAACTGAAATTTTAGTATATCGACGATATCATTAAGATTTTCTAGATCATAATTACTTATTCCAGCAGAAAGGACGGAGACGATCGAAACCCTTTCGGCGGCAGCAACTGAGGGCGAACTAAACTTAGCCAGTATCTACTTTGTTAGTATATACTGACTAAGTTTTTATAACGAAAAAAGCACTAAGGGATTACGCTTCAGGCCATTTTGGTGGCGCTTCTTACTTGAACATATTAGATATTGGATCGGTATCTACTATGTGTATATCCTTTATGATCAAAATTTTCGTTTTTCAAATCTTTAACAAAAATAATTAGCTCGCTACTACGGCAGAACAACGTAATGCTAATAATGGTTGACCGTATTGAGCACAGAACGTCGGCAGCGCATAGATCTTGACGATGCAATAATAAATGGTGTAATAAATAAATGTATGGTAGTAGATAAAAAAAAATAAATGGTGGTTTTTTCCTAAGTAATAGAAATAACCTCAATTTGCTTGCTATCACGGAATTGTCATTTTAACTTCCTTTCGTGTAGCGCCCGATCTTTGCTATTTTTTTCCCAGTTTTTAATCAAGTTTTTAACCAGTTTTTAATGTAGCAGAAACTGAAAAAAAAAAACATTTATTGCCGAAAACTACTGCACTGGTAACTTACAGAGGTTTAACATGTTCTGTGCAGTTACGAGATATTGCTATGTATGTGGGTCGTTCAAAAAGGTTAGCACCGAAAGTCAGCTCATAGTAGTTCGGCTGTAATAATAAGCATTACAATAACAGTGATTTTTCGTTAAGCCTTGCTTAATGATGGGCAAACGCCGAGAAAACTTCATCTGTATATGGGACAAGCGCAAAAGCTATGGCAGCAAGACGGCTTCGTCAGCAGAAAATTGTTCTCGCCGCAAAGAAGAGTCTGAAGGCGATCATTCGAGCGTGTGTCTCCCGTTCTTGAAATAGATACACTATGCTGATCAATGGGCTATTATTACTATCATTGGCATAATAATCAACATATCGATCGCGTCATTTCGATCTTTCCGTATTGTAGATTTCTGTTAATTTGATGGAAGTCGATGCTGCTTCTATTGCTAACGCTGCAGTCGCAGGCGTAAGCAAGATCTCTGGACAAGGGATTCCTAGCCGACTCCACTACTACAGCCGTGGGGAGCCCCCGCTTCCTTCAGCAAGCACGAGACAGTAGCAATAAGCGCCTTTCGTCATGTTACTTTACCCGCATCAACCAGCTCCCTCCTAGATTGTCAAGCCTTCCAGGGCTTTGTCGTTTTGGGTTTTCCTGCCGGCGACAAAATCCATCAAGCAGCTCGCTGCTAAGTTTTGAATGTGGTCACTGGACAACAAAGAACTAGACAGGCGTAGCAAGGTGAGTAGGAGAACGGGTAGCTCGTTGTTACTAGTAATGTTTTTCTAAAGAAAATAGAGGCGGCAACATTGCTAGATGGATAGGTGTATGCGAATCAATATGGACACTTGTAAAGAGAAATAAAACCGTAAAGGTGTCTGGGTGAAGATAAATGTTTACCACCGACATGAGTAAATTTGATGAGAAAAAATTAATTCCCTATTACCCAGGCTTGATGTCATTTTATAGGTTATCGATATGAGTTGCTTTTACTTGAAGCAGTAAAGTTTCCTCGATTGTTATATAGCTCATAAATCACATTCTTGTAGTTACTTTTCCCTTGATAGGATGACGCGTATATACACGTTGAGCCAGGAACTGTATCCACATATTGATTCATTCGTCCTGTTAAGAACTGGTAGTTAAACTTAGATCTCAGCACTCAGTCTACAACACGAATAGCTAGTAAGCAGAAAACGAGACTTCAACCTACCAACAACGTAGTCGTATTCAGGATCGAATGAAATGCGTGCAAAGGAGGGGGCCTCCCTTTCAACATATAAAAGAATCCAGGCGAGAAAGGGCAGAAGGCCGGCTTTCAGGAGCGTCTTAAGGAGCAAGGACCATTTCAAAAAGGTGATTGGCAGCGGTAGTAACAGGAACATCCCGACTCATTCATGCTCGTCTGAACACACAATAGGCCTTTTACCAATAGGATAAAAAAAATAGGTAAACAACTAACCACTGTTAGTAATTAGCGTTCACTGCGCTGGAGTAAAAGTGACATTTTGCTAATAGTTGCTACGAAAATTTGGCTGAAACAAGGTTTTGGCCATTACAAAAATAACTTTAATAATATACTAATAGGCCGGTTCGTCTGCGCGCATCGGGTTTGTTAGCTTGTAGTAGCTAATGACATCTGCTAGCTATAATAGTATATATAACAAAATTTCAAAGACCGACATTAAAAGTATATATATATTATATAAAATATATTAAGGGTATAACAATATCATAAGCTGAATATAAACTCTTTAAAAATGAAGATACCATATTTTCTCGTAAGTTAATGCGTTAGTGGAATTACGTTATTTCAGAAAAAAAAAAAAACTGGCAATTCAGGTGCGTTAGATAATCGTTTAGGTTTTGTATCCTCTTCAGGAGATTATCCATGGACACTCGCTTAGGCTATGTACAACATGCAGCACCTCCTTAGTTACTAGCTTATTACGTTATTGTGGTGCAAATGCTCAGTCGTTTACTAGGATACAATTAAGAGCTTAATCTCCATTACCTGACTGCGTAGAAGGTAACAATGAAGGAAACGACAGTGCTTTTTTTTGGCACGGTGCGAACGCAAAGATGACTTAATGTCAAGTCATTTTGAAGGAGTTTAAACGCTAGAATTCAGGAACATGGCTTGAAGGCGGCGCGGTAGATAGACACCCAGCTCTAGCCAAAGGCCAAAAACGGAAGCTTGCTCCATAGAATAACTAAAACGTATTAAAAAATAATAATAAAACTCAATTGTTAATTTTTCTAGGCCTGAGTTAGTGTTACAGGTCCACTCCGGCATCACAATGTACAGACATTGAAAACGATGAGTTAATGTCAGATTCAACTAAGAATTATACCGCTTACAATACTGACTATATGAGAAATTATTAGCTGTTAGTTTTGGTATTATACTATAAAAAACTTCCTTCTGTCCAAGTGATCTGGACCTGGACACTCGTTCCCTTCTCGAGGCAATGGAACGATTATAAGACACTCCAGCGGTGAAGCTTATTCTTGAGTAATAGGACAAATCTGAGGAATTTAAAGAAAATGAATACGAAGATCTAGTAGATGCATCTAGCTCTCAAAATAAGTAGATTATTTTTTGTTACTTGAACCTTTACGTTAAGAACGAAGATCGTACTTTCATACGGTACGTTTTTATAAAACGTAATCATATGAGTTGACATGCGCGCGATTTATTTTGTATAGAATCTGTGCACTGGAACGGAAGGGCATGTTTTGGCTCAAACACATGACCCGTCATATTACTACGAACTGGTTTAATATTAAAAAGCCATGCAGTAAGGTTCTAGAGTTGTCATTGGCAAATGGGAAACTATAGGTATTGAAAAAATTCAAGGTTTCCTTGAAAAAAATCACCGATAACATTTCTATATGATTACCAGTGCCTCCAAACCCTATGCCCGGCGAATGAATGCAAGCGGCAAGTTTGAAGATTTGTTCAACTAAAAACAGGTCACCGGGTTTGCCCTAGCATCTTGATACGACGACATAATAACACTTGAAAGAAGCAAAAGAGCAGCAGTACAACAAGCGTATTTTATTGTTAAGTTGCCCAATAATTTTCAAATAAAAAATACTCACGTTCCCACAAGGTATCAAAAGTGAAGCTCATGCAAAACGAGGTGATTGCATGCGTTGTTACATGATCGAATCCAACGCTAGATTAGTCATAATTAACGTTTCAATTAGTTGGAGCTTTTTAAAAACGTTATTATTTTTTGCCGCTCCATCATTCGGTGAAACGGTTGGATTTCATCCCGTCTATTACGAAAGTGCAGGAAACACAACCATTGCAAGTTTTTTCCCTGAAAAACTTACCGATTTGCAATTTCGACCATTATGTTGACCCCACCGGGAGGACCGGGTGTTCTAATCGAAATATATACTTTGCCTTTTTCGAAACACAAATATCCTTCAGACTCTCAGGCTCATAGCTAGATTAATTATCATTCTTGAGATAAGTTCAACAAAAGTGATGCCTTCCTGCAATGCAAATGAGGTTCAATGTTTTAACTCTACCAATAATACAATATACTTTTCAAGTTTCACGCTAATTTCCATACGTATACTGCATTAAGTAATTCAGAAAATAACCTAATGATCTAAAGGGACTCGCTTGCTGACATAATTTCGTTTATTACTATTAATTTATTATTAATTGCACCAATATTTATTATTAGAGAGCATATTTAAAGGCAGATCAACAACTGTAATTGATAAAAATATCCACTCTTTATTTAAGTAATTGCAGACACCCATATTGCATGAAGACATTTCTGGCCAACATAACCACCATCTTGTTTCTTCTATTAATTGATGTATTTACGGAAGGCTACTAGGTAAAGTGAAGATAACTTGGGAGCGCATTGGTACTCAGATGGCATCCTTTGTCACTGCGCGGGGTATAAAAACGCAATTTAACGCTGCACCCCGCTACTCATAAAACGAGCCTAAAAATCTTAACTTTAGATTCGTATTAAAATCTACTAGGTCCTACTGCGATTTAAAATGCGATATTTACATCTTGTAATTATCCTGCGTTTTTTTTTTTTCACTGAGTATTGACAATGGGGCACTGACAATGTTTCGTAAAAGTGCGATATTTTGCGCTAATTTTTTTAGACTCAATTCTGCGAATATTTGGACAAATCGTTAGTCTATGACAATAATACTAGCAACTTTAAGTTATAAATCAATTTGAGGTAACTTCTCGAAAGGTATCTGCATCCATATTTTATTTATCTTAGCTAAAGTCTCAGCCAAAACTGTCAATAATATTTTCACGTACAGTCAACAACGGATGTTCTTTAATACACAATTAGAACTCAATAAGCATAGGCTGAGAATCGAAAAAAAACATTATGCCTATCTCAGGCCAAAATATTCCGGTTGCGCATTACTATTAGTTGAAATGCGAAAGCTATATATAGGCAGTTGTTTGTATAATATTTTTAACACATTCTTTGATCAAGCGATATTAGGACATGGAGATTTCCAATGCTTAGTATAATATATTATCTATGAGGCCATCGACAATGATTGCATTGGACCTACGATTCGGCCTATTCTTGTTTCATTAATTCTTAGTGACAATTAGAAGACTGGTTGCTGTTTGAAATCTTCAGTTAAAAGTTCCTATGTACCTGTGATTCTGACACAACAAGTAAAAATTAGTTTTCATCTCATCTGGCCCGTGTTTCTGGATGACTCGGCGTTAGATTTAAATTTTAAGGCTTTGTACTAACAACACCTACGCAGTCTAAAACTCTAGCTACGGTAATGAGATTAGACGCTAAAAGCTACAGCTAGCTGTCCAGTAAAAATAGTTAGGCAACGATCGCTAAGAATGGTTCCATGTGTTGTCTCTCGCGCGATACCATTGTGAGGTAACGGACGCTACCACATACCCTTTGCCCACAATTTCAACAAAACTGGTCCATCTATCTATGTGCACTAAGTAAAACAAGCTTTATCATAAACAAGCTTCTATTGTTACCATCAGCTACTATGTGTATCGCTCAAATGAAAATAAACCAAAACATTGTTAGCTCAGATAAAGTTTTCCATATATGTTGCGTCAGTATGAACGAATTTATGGCGGATCTATGCACATGTACCTTAGTACTTACCAATATACAGGAGTTAGCAGTTGACGCTTGTCCACACATTAAACTTCGTTATGTGCATGCAGTTTAATAGCTATACTACCTAAAAGTACGGAACTGCTTTTTAGCACAAAAAATCAACGTTCCGATAGGCGCACACAGATTCTTACGAAGTCTCTGTGCTACCATTGATCTATCGTTCCGATATCACCTGAGTGACTTTGGAGTTTAAAGCATTTTTCCTACAATTCGCTTTTCGTCGCTTTCTCAGTCGTGGTTCTTGCGTAGCCGATCGTTGTAAGGATAAATTGCTCCTCACTCTCGAGAACGAGAACTTAAGGCACACGCCGTTGCCCCTAACACGGGCCTTCATTTGCCACTTAGCCAATGCATCAGCCGACCCATCTGTCGCTCTGCAGAAATAACACTGGGAAAAGTCAGCTAATACCCGCGAGCGCCCTGACGTTTCGTTTTGGATGACACCAATGGGCGGCTGTTATAGAGAAGAGGCTGCGTTACGGCGGGGAGGGAACCCAGGACCACTGGAGCTTGAACCCGCCTACAATCACATTAATCGCGTTCGACCGACAGCAACGTCTTCTCCTATAAGCTGCTCTTAAGACTCCGCATCTAAATGCGTACTAACTAATACGCACAGATAGTAGTAGTAATACTAACAAGAGTTGGGTAGGCGTGAAGAGGAACGATCGAACCTCTCATGTCTATAGTGCCAGTCATGATATATTTGCTTGTGATCATACAGGGCCATTAAAACATAAGTGACGAAACATCAATTTGCATGAGCAAATGTGTTGTTTGCTATGTGTAATAAGAAAAACCAGATAGCTAAGGACAAACAGTTTCAATCTGTGTATGCAAGAACGATTACCCAGACCATTATAGCGTCTCTAGTTGGCATAATCTTCATTCATTATTACCACGCGTATTTCTTATTTCATTTTTTTGCGGCCTTGTCAAGGAGCTGATTTATTCAGGTGCACTGTAAATTGCAAATAATTAGGTAATAGCAGAGACAATTAACGATATATTATACGAAAATAGCCATGGGTTTAATTCTCTTATATCCAGTGGACCACTGACTTCGCGATGTTGACCCCAGATGTCGACGCCACCTGCCTGTTCATATTATTATTATACGGTACAGTTAGTGAGGTTTGTGAAAGCCTGTTAAACTGGGAAAATATAGGTCGCCGCATATAAATCAAGTTACGTAAGCATTGTCTCAGAGTACTAGCAGTCCGGCATGAAATAAACACACCTTTATTTTATATAATTAATACTAATGCAAGTAATCTTATGATTTTATATACCGTCGTATACAGTAAACAGAATTTCATTCAGCCGATGCTAACTGATTCTTCCATTGCAATGAAGACTCTGCAGCAAAGTCATAAAATAGTTATTGCCTAAGCTGCTAGTTATGTCAACTAGCGGCAACCTAGCGACACAGATATTTCCAGAGTGCTCAACGCGTAGCATCATCAGATACTATATTAAAATCAACCTAAGGCTTGTTAAAAGCAGATTTCTTTGTTTCAATGAATAGAACTAGGGCGTATGCCACTAAGGGCAGGCAACGTTTCCGTAATTTTCTTTTTTAACAGTAAGCTGTCCATTGAAAATGGAGACGGCGTTTAAAATATGTCAAGTTAAGGTATAGGTCGCCTCCGACAGACAACATTTGTGGACGATTTTCTGTGAATATTCTGTGAATCAACTATACGGACGCTTTGACAAAAGATTCCAGAATTAGTGCGTAAACGACGCTTACGGGTTTGGCGAAAAGGACCATCGTATGAACTCATTGATTATATATCAATTGTCCTACCAAATAAAAATTGTAAAACCCTTTTAAAAGATGAACATAGAAGCCAGAACGGTTGGGGCAAATCACTTGCTCAATTGTCATATCATAAGGCTCTTCCTTCCTTGTTAGCTCCAACACTCTCCCTTCATAGGACAGCTAGTGCATATATAGCTTAAGTTACTCACATAAAGGGAGGAAGTGATACTATAAAGGATGGGCTTTATTGCACACAATATAGAACTGTGTTTCTGTGTTTTAGGTCGGACATTAGGATACAGGACAAAGACTGGCAATGAGTTGGAAAGCCCCGGGTGGTGGCTGACTTCACAAACCATAGGCATCTAGCTGATCGCAAACAGCCACCATACTTCACTTCGTAAGTTCACTGGCGATGTACAATGCGTGTGGTTCTAAGAAGAGCTTTTAAAAATGAGTGTTCGAGTCGAACTCTTACCTTTACCTCGCAGCAAAAAGGACTAAAGCAAGATGCAGGCACATTTTAGCACATTATGCTAAGGGATGTAATAATACGTATGTTGACCAATTTTGTACCAGACATGAGCTACTTTTGAGAATGTATTTGAAAAATCACACGAATCGCTCTAGGTGATTGAGCCCAAAACTTGTGAATCTCGCGAATTGTTATAATGTGTTTGTGTTATTTTGTACCTAGTATTCTCGACTAGAATAAAAGTTATTAAAGCAATTGTGTTCAGGCCACTGCGCCACACTGGTCCAGACAACCCCTGTGCAACAAATATGGTACACATAAAGAACGTACGGGACAGATCTACAAAAATACGGAGACGAATATCAAATTGAGAAAGTGTATATATATTGTTAATCCAATAGTTACGCTTTACGGTTTTCCACCAGCAGAATCTACGGGGTATTTTCAAATTTACGAATCTTGAGGATTTACGTAAGACTCGTTCCTGCTGCTGCAGTTGCTCTTGCTGGAGACAATTTATCTATGCCAAAAAGCGTTTTCCCACTAGAACCTAGCTGTGACATGTATGCTTCTTCGTATAATGTCTGTTTTTGCGTTGGCGGTCGTTTTCATTGATCAGTTCCTACAAATATTTTCGTTGTCACCGATCGTTTCGTTGTCTTGACACGTATTCCTTCTATAAATATTCACTTTCATTTCGCTCGTCTCTGATACTTCCTGCCGATTTCTGTCCGTATTGCATAGAGCCTGCTGATTACCATTACGAGGGCTCTAACGCCACTTAATAAGCAATAGATTTGACATCGCTCTACCGTACGCGGGGCTGGTCTTGTCTATCTAGCGGCTTTATGCTTGACAAACAATGTCTTCGGCAACATAGTGTCAGCAAGCGCGCCAGCTACCCGTCGCCATAGTTCCGCTTCGTGTCGTAACGACTACCGTTGAGAAATCTTAGCCATTGTGCGGTTTGAAAACCATTGTTGTTGATAGAACGAAGTGGCTCGTACTGGTTTCAGTAAGGGTTAGCTGACTGCAAGCGTTTTGAGATTTGTCTGATGTGGAGCCAACACTTAAGTCAACATTGATTGGCATTTAAAAGTGGCTGAGAGATTGATTACCTAAAGCTTAGAAGGCCGCCATTAGTAAAGATTTGCGTATACATCGATGTTAAATTACGACAAATTACTTGAATGCTCGATACAGTCCTCTAAAGCTGTACTTAAACGACACGGTGTACATCAAATCTATCGTTTTTTTTACCACTGCAATTCTCAAATCGATTAAATTAATTTCTATTAATACAAATCAGTTAAATTGCTGCAGTATGTATATGTATCCCTTATAAATGGGTTTTACTGCGACGACAGCTGGGTCTAGTATGTGCGATACTGAATGGCAGGTAATGGTTACTGAAGAGAACCTCCGCTATTCAAATAATAGTTCGAACATATTATTATTGTAGGCCTCCTGATGATTCACAACTTTGTTTTTCTGGACCCTAGTTGACATTGCCGATAGCCACAATCTTTGAGCTATGTTAAATGAGAAGCTTGTTTTGCATTTGTCAGTTTGGCCGAAAAAAAAATTACAAGTCGATCGTACCAACCTGATTGTGCATTCTGTATCCACCCGGTGATATTACTATTATAGAGGCCAGGATAATAGCTAGGAATACTACACATATAGATACAACTCGCGCCTACTTCATCACCTTTCAGTTTGTTGCACATGATTAGTACTGAGTATACACGTAAACGCAAGTTACCAACCTATTGCTCTTGCGAATATAACTTGAAATAGGTGTAAATTTGCCTGACTTGAACCCGAACTCTGTGCCTTAACTTGCTGCGGTTGCCCTGTCACACTTTTTGCATTTACTCTGTCACTTGGGTAAAGCTGTTTTTATAATAGCACTACAGGTTTTCCTTTGCAATTCCCCTTTCGCCATCTATCAGTAAACCTACTACATTATCTTCGTCGCTCTGTTACTTGTCTTCAATTGTTTAGTTACCCCAATTTGAATATTCCACTATACGAAATCCAAATACCTTAGCAGAACCTAATGAGGCAGGATTCGGTTAAGTGGGCACACACGGGATTCAAATGCTTTAGCAAGAGGGTTTGACCCGCATGAGCCCTTTCTCTTCGAAAAGAAAACAGATATTACATTACCATTGTCGTATTGCACTAGTAACGTTTTTGGCTAATCTGGAAAACACGTGGTGCTCTAGGTTTGAAATTTGGCGAAACCGTGCTTCGTGTCCTACTAATCCCGAGACCCTTAGAGAAGGGCCCAAACTTCTCTGCGAATTATGCCGGTCCCTATTGCAATCCGCTTTGTGTGCTGTTCCGTATGTGCTGCTATGGTTTCGTTATCTCAAAATAAAATTTTAGTATAAAAAATATTAATCAATCCAGATATTATTCTGCTTAAAAGATGAAGACAACAGACAACTTCTAATTTAGTTTGTGGCCTGCTATTTAAAAGTACTAGGCCAACATCTAGATAGTTCTCAAATTTTTAGTCTTTGTTGAGATTACTGCTCGAAGAAGTAGTTTTCCCCCAGTTTACATTAGAACGTCTGAGGAAGTTATTCTATATATTGTATTTAGCATATAAAAGGTATTACTCAAGCGCACAATTTTCATCAAGATAGCACGTAAAAGAACGACAAAAATTGCTTTTGGTTCGGTAGACATACTCTTACTTGTTTAAGAAGATTGATTTATTATCGACCATACGAGTTTATATTGATCCTTTCTATGTTCAGAAGTGCACAGAAAATCACAGTAATTTTGATAATAACTTACGGTTTGTTCCCAAGGGTTGATCGACATGAACAAATATCTTATTATATCGACCACGTTTATCATTCCGGAAAAAGAAAGCATTATAGACATGCCACTATCTAATATAGCCGTTTCAAGCTCTTCTACGATTTACTGACAAGCATAACCGCCCAGCCACTAGTGATCACTCCGCTGATTCACTTTGTTCCGTCTTCAACATAGAATAGACGACAATGTGCTATCACTGAATCGTGTAGCGTGAACAATATGCGTTTGTGTCTTGGAATTACTTCCTTGCTGTATGTCTGTGGATTCATCTGGCGGAAGAAAGTTGACTGTAAAAAAATGCTGACGCGGGCTTCACCTCCAAAACAAACAAAACAGCACCAGCCTCGTCCTACGTGAAAAATGTCAGGTAATACTACATTACAGAGCCACACTGCAGCATTCCTAGCGGCAGAGATTGATTCAATGAGAATAGGTTCTAGGACAGATAGACACAGGATTGAGCTAAATATGACAAAACGTCATCGCCTTAGTTGGCCATGCATAAAGGTACTGCGCCATAGGCTGGTCGGCTCAGCGCATCCCCGAGTGAAGTTGGGTACGGCAAAAGATAGTGTTAGAAGCAAAAAAAGCTCAAGGGGCAAAGGAAACACTGAGATGTTTAAAGGATATAATGGGTTCAGTTTTCAGACGAACTGATCGTTGTTGTGCCCCACGTTTGATGCTGGCGATTCCTGACGTTTTAGGGGCTAATAGGCACCAAAAAACTATGCATAACATAAGGTGAAGAGATACCTGATTAGGATCGCGGTGCGTTCCGTTCAAAGAATGTGCCGCCACAATGGGGCAGCCCACGCCCCATAGGCTTCCAATTCACTCTTTAGCTTCAGACGCGTGGTGAGATCAATGCTAAGAAGAACTCACCCGCGCGTGTCGATTACTACACGGGAACGTGTTTATTAATACCTGTCCAACGCTTGCGCATGTTCTAATCGCCGAGGAACATATGAAACAGGAATTTTTTTCATGGTCACGACATTAATTTAAATTCGACTTAGTTTAGTCTGGCAGTGAACGCATGATCTAAATCTGTCGATAGATAACAGCTCATTCATTTTTCTAAAGCTAGGTTTGTTAAAGTGGCGGTCACCGCATTATTTGACTGGTCGATTGCCCCTCCGTTGTCACACCATTATATCGGTTTATAAGTTTGCTTTTTAAAATGCGTTGCTTAGTTCCTAAAATACAAAAAAAATCTCATCTAGGCAAGACGCAATATATAGACGATGCATTAAAAAGCTTGCTAAGACAATATCTATATTTTAGTAAGGCATTTGGCCACTTTGAGGTTAATTTGTCCTAAACATTCAAGCTGGTTTATGCCTCTATGAACTTTAACCAGAACTCAACGGCATGTGACTAAACAAGGTTTTTCAGGTTCTAACTACTGTATTTAAGAAGGCGAATTCTCAATAATCAAATGCGTAATTTTTTTATCAATAATTTCTCCAACAATTGTAACCTGTTACAATTAATTCCCTATAAAACGTTTATACTGTAGGGCCCAATGTTAAGTTCATTTACGCTGGGTGCATTGAATTTTGCGACTGATGCTAGTCCGCGGTGTTTAGACTGCACTATTCGGTGAGTTGTTCTTAAAAAAAAACCGAGAACGAAATTGAATATCGGCTAAATAATGGCCCACAAACTGCAAACACACTCGCTGCGATAATCAAATCATATGTATTTAAAGATATTTTGCCAATATCACGATTTTGAAATAAAAAGCCTGTCACAAGGTTTGGTTCATTTTTCACAACCTTAAACATTAGTTGATCATTCATTTTAATAATGACATTCTAACTCGTTTTTAAAAAATACATACCATACCATAAGCCAATATGTTTGCCGAGTTTATTTGTTTCTTTGATAACAGCCACTCTCTTTCGTTCCGTTTTCACCATAAAGGAACACGATCACCCTACACTGCCTGTAACCAAACCTTTCAGCGATACCTTTTTTTTGATCACCCCTCCTGTCTATTTATTTTCTGGCTCAGTGGGCCCCGCTGGCTTTACCGTAACGTTGTACAATCCGTACGCTTCGCGTTGATCTATTTATATATCACTTAAAGTACTAGTAGCACAGTAGAGCAAGATAAAATATCCAACATGGAAGTAAAAAGATTGTAAGAAAGAACTCCACAAAGCAACGATTGCTTTGGATTAAACTATGTAAGATCCGTACACAAAACCACAGAACGCAAGTCTCTATTCACTGTGAGACATTTTCACAAAAGAAATTTGGAACATATGGAGCCCACACGCTTTGGCGCATTTTCGGATTAAAATGGCCTCTATAATATCTTTTCTATATTCTGTATAGATAGTATTGCCAGAACATGTCCTGCAACATCCGTGATGTGTACCTCGTGGGCCTTTGCTCGTGGATCTATTTAACGTGGATCTAGAAAGCGTCTAATTCTTTTGCACTATCCGAATCAAAGCACAGGAAGCTTCGGCATTATGGCTAAGCCGGAAAAGAATCATTTAATTGCACTTTACTTGATTATTTAAATTTGGGCTTTACCACTTCTACGAGATACGGAGAGTATAAACGAGCTTATGAAGATCGGTAGAAGCTAGAACATTAAACTTAGCTACGATTCCAACATAGTAGGTAAAGAGCATGTAAATAAAAGAAAAAGCCAAGAGAATGCTAATATATTCGATGAGTTGTGACAACTAAAGACTTTCTACTTCGAACCTCCAGACATATGTCCCTCTAACATTTTACTGAAGAATGCATCAATGATGCCGGAGGGAGACACTTTAAAAGTTATGTGGCTATAAGGTTGAAAGCACGAACTTCACAACTTCTGTATCGGTGTCCAAAGAGACCTCAGAGTCGCAAGCTTTGCGGCAAGGCTGAAGATCGACGAAAAAGATCTTTCTTACTTTTTGCTGTTCAAGTCGCCCGCTACAGCACGCATGATAAGCAGGGATGCGTTCATCCATTCGTCCACCCTCGCTCTACCCTACACAAGAACACCACCCTCAGTGTTACCATCAACGAACAAGTCACAATCAACTGTTTTTATAGTAAAATTGTCTATTGAGGTGATGACTGCAAAGACGAACACAGAGCAATACAACGTGCACGTTCAGTAGAGTACAGTTTTTTTCTTTCAGGAATCACAATAGAAAGGCTTCGATAACAAAGTACAGATCTCAATTAGTTATTGGTGCTCATACCCTATCCTGGTAGAATTCCATATCCTCCATTACGCAAAGTAACAAAATTGAAGACAGATTTCAGGGCATGAAAATGGCAACGACTACAGAAGCGCACCATGAAGGGGCCGCCCTAATTACCAACGGTGGCAACAGCAATGTTAGCGAAATTGAAACACTTGTAAGCACTTTATTTGTTCGAGAACATTGCAGTTTTAAAATCAGCTCTAGAGCTACCCTTGGAGAGCTAGCAATCAGCTAATCAAGGAACTGCATAAACAACCATTATTTCCTTTTTTTCGCTTAATTCTGAGTTTTGCGTTTTTTGTAAGTTATAGTGAACATCGAAATAATTCAAAGTTCTGTGTTTACCCAGTTGGGATACGATGTTAACATTATTTGATACATCATTTTTCGAAGTGATGAACATTTTATTTTGTAAACGCGCATGTTACTCTAATCTTCTACGCATAAAGCACAGGCTTTTCTGTTTGCAGGAGCGTCTCTATAGTGTATTTGCATAGTTTTTCCTGAAAATTAGATTCTCAAAAAATATAGTAAATAGAAATTATAATATAATGCAGTATCATAACGCAGAGAAATGGAAAAGATTGCATGACCGAGTGTTTATGAGGATACCTGATGGTGGAGCTCGCTCTTTCGTCACAATCGACTGCAACCAACAAACTATTTATGCCATATACGAATACGAGCTTACAGTGCCCAACTATACACATGATGTCTGGATAACATATTTGCGTACGATTGACCGCGAACGGCGCAGATTTGTATAGCATTATTCAATTGAATCATTGAACCTTGTGATTTTATTGTTTCTTTTTTTCTACTATTTTGCTGTTCTAGCAACGCGAATATGAATGGCTACTGAAATTCGAGGTGAACGATATCGTTGAACAGCTTCAAGGAGTTATCGCCGTGAGTACTATTATTGGGCGCTACCTATCGATAGTACTGATCAGAGGCTGTTTCCTAGATTTGGGTTGTAGTGCGTGAATCATAAACGCTTGCTCAGTCTACGAATATGTCTAGATTAGCATTGAAAATGTACAGTTGGCTCTATTAGAACAGGACCCAAACATTTAAGATAGACACAGTATAAATGTTGCCTGATCTTCGGTGTATAGTTTGAAACTTAACTAAAACCACCAGAAAAGAAGTTGAAGAAATACATGTATCTGCATATATAAAAATAAATAGCGTGCTGAGCGGTACGCTAGAATTTTCACGCTTACTGTAATTCTATATCTATTTGGTAGGAATGCTCGAAGCGATTTCCTCTATCGATCCCCGGTCACCACCAGACTGAAGCTCGCTCTGATAAATTCATAATGCAGAATACCATGTAAGTAATTCTATCTTAAAATATAAATAGATACTTCTATTTCCGATATAACCATATGACCGAAACAATCATTATCTCCATGAATGTCTACTGAAAACGCTAATCAATCGTTTTGTTTAGCATCATTAGTGCTTAACCAACAATCGGGACGTGTAAATGTGTAAAATGATTATGAATGTAAATGTGAAAAATTGATTATATTGATGCGAATTGATTGAAAAGCAGCTAAAAGTATGCTAACGAACAGCAAGAACTGTAACTCCTGTCGTAGAGCCAGCGCCCGCGGGATTGAGCTTTAATGTCTAATACTCTAAACAATTACGTGTGCGTACTTAGCAGTAATAATTATCAAGATGTCTTCACTGTTTTTTCATTGCCACACTTGACAACTTATTTGGTCTGCTTCGACTGCTATATGTTGTGGTGCAGCGCTACGTCAGCCGACCAGAGCAAAGTTGTGGCAACTCTGACAGGGGACTCAATTAGCCATGCCGACATTAGTCTACGCTTACCAAAACACTCACAACCCAGCCAAAGAACAATTGTGCAAAATGACGCTCAATGGAAGCTGCAGGTAGGGGTCATTTTTTCTACTGACAACCAATTTAGCCTTGCAATGCTTTGTTTATTTACATGCCTAAATACTATATGTACTACATTCCCTCAAAACTATTTAATTTTAAAGGCCATTTTGTAAAATATCGAAAAGCATAATTTCTTTACTGTATTAAATAGGTGATTTCGAATATACTATTGTTTTCCTTTGTTATTACAATAGATCGCTTTTCACGGACAAGCTCATATTTATATTTGACTTAGATCTACAAGCTTTATTCCATATGTAATTAAGAAACTTTAAATATCGGTATGAATTAGCTTAGAACTTGCAGCTAACTACAGTTATCTGCTTTTTTACAGCAAATTCAAGATGCTGGTAATCATCTCATGCAGGCTATGAATCTTCTCAATCCGAACCGGGTGGGCGGACGATTCAAGTTTACGTCTGGACAGGAAGTACGCATTTAGCTGAAATTACGCACACACAGACACGCGCATTTAGATAATAATAGGTATTTACTCCAGGTGATTCTGTTTACGTATTGTTCACTAAGCGAAAAACTCATCGCACGGTTCAGTAAGGTCTGTAATTTTTACTTAGCGAAGAGTTTTGAACATTGTCATGTAGACGAAAACGACAAATATTCTTCTCATCTATTTGAAAATATCACAAGAAACAGTCCTTTTTTATACGGAGTCAGAGCAGGAAGATTCTAAGTATATATATATATGCCAGTTGGTTAGTACTGTTGATTTAGAAACTGATCTTCATCATGTTTCTCTTTGCATTCGACTTAGGTTCGCAACCTTATGTCAGACGTGATGACGTGCGTAGGCCGTGGGAGAGCCTGTCTGGTAGTACCTAAAAAGAGGACAATAGAGGAGATCATGCAGAGCAGAAATATGGTACGAAATAACGTGTGTGCGCAATGCAGTGGCTAACTGACTTGTTTGATTTATATATTAGGGAGCAGTAATTTTAATGTTTTTTCTACTTTATCTCTTTATATGTAGAGTTAATACAATCTTGGTAATTTGACATTATTATATTTTGCTTCCGGCTCGCTGTTTTTGCTTTTGCGGTTATGTAGAAATCGCTTCAACCACCGCTCCCGAACGATGTTGCCGTGAGCTTCTACATCCAGAGTTACAAGCTCGTTTTTGCTGTTTATCATGTCCAGAAAGATCCCCACGGCCAGCAAAAATTCGATGTTCTACAGGCAAGTACGGAATTGCCATCTTGAACGTGAGCGTGCTAAGTTGCAACTAACCTTATCATTATTGAGAAATGTTAATAAATCCATATATATATATAACCTAAAGAATAATGCTCGTAGGTGATGGCTGACGTCTGCCGTTGTCAAATTAACAAATATTCTGTGGTTTCTGGTTCGACCCTTGTACCATGTTTTCTAAGAATAAAATATGTTACAGCTACTTCCTCAACGACTTCATTTGTATTGACACGTTTGGTGCATTTTAGTTTTACTCATATACGTTCTATATTGCTAACGATAAACCTAGGATTATTTCCATATTAAAAACGTGGAAAACACACCAAAAGCAGATATAGCAGTGAGCATGTAATTTAGACTAGCTTTGTAATCATCAAGAGCTTCAATTCTTTTTATCACATATTTTTTTCGCCTAGTTGTCGATACGTTTCACCCTAAATACGATAGTGAACATCCTCTGGTCTAATTTTTAGGCGGAATGCTCTGTTCCTTGGTTGAGCGAAGTGCTAGTACTGTTCACTGTCGCACTGCAACTTTGTCAACAACTTAAGGACAAGGTATTTAACATAGAACTTTACTCAGTAATTTAAAGTTTGCCATTCATTCAGCATGATTGTTTTTCATTGTCGTTGAGTGAGTTCTCTCAAGTACATTCGAAACTCATATATTGCTCAATATATCATGCACTATGTGCTTTTAGCAGGCATGTCCTATGGCATTTCTGGGAAACCTTATTATTCGAATCCTTATTGCGCACGGCGTATTCTTACAAATTTTTATGTCAAACATTAAAAACATTGGCATTGCTTATTGTTTCAGGTGGAAGTGTTCAACCAATACAACGACTTCACTGTTCCCGACAAAATCTAAATGTCAACATGCAAAGAATAGGTCCCCCGTCCAGTAAACGCTACGCCCCGAACCATAAGATAACGCGAAAACACTGTAGAACAGCACGAAATTCCCTGACTCATGTCGCATTAGAATGCACTGTGTCATCACTAGCATCACCGTCACAGGACCGCTCAGATGAGCCGAACAGCCTGATTTGGTCATAAGTAACACCCTTCAAGTCGATGTCGTGTGATGGGAGACAGTCTATTGATCTTGCATTTAGTATTTGACTGATGCTAGTAGGGCAGGAGGCATTAGAGCTCCTAGTAATAGTATGACCCTGCAGAACTTGTTTTTGATCCGTTTTTTAATGTGTTTATAAGTTATTTATTTCGCTGTCGTTACCATGGGTATACTTCGTGCCAGATTACTAATGTATTTGACGTATGCTCTATTCTATTCCATAATTATGATAATCAGGCGAGCGTGAACAATGCATTCAAAAACTGACTGTCCATCCAACACTTCGGTCGGTTCTATTTATTGTTATGGATATCGTTATAACTAGAGTCGGTTTGTACTCATTAACAGTAGATGTATCATATAATGATATTCTCAAGCTCATTTTTTTCAAAAAATACCCTAAACAGATACCTTAATATTGGGCGAAAAAGATATGAAATGACACGTGGTCAGCGAAACAAAGTTTAAATTATTAATAACAATAAACTGATCGAGTCCTCACACAGTCGACATTCCTTAGTTTTTAGTGACTGTGAGTGCAACTTTATTACAAGCGATTTAGTCATGGTAAACACCTCACGACGTATTATGTACTCACTATATACTACTTGAAAGTGTTTAACAAAATAAGAAAAGTAACAAAATAACTCTAAGAAGGATTTCATAAAATTACAACAGAAAGTAGTCAAATGGATGAGATTGCATAAACTTAATTGAATGTTATAGTAAGGTCTGAAGTAGAGCATAAATATTGATTAAACGAAAGTATCACGCTATTGTATAGAAAAAATTTGCACGGAACATCTCGCATCCTATTGTTGCAACTTTGTTGCAAAAAGGGTTACCTACATTTCTGATTGCGATAATTACTATAGTCAATTGAATAAGTAATTGGTGTGTGTCTGTATTACGTTTATCGACGATGTAGAGATTTAATGTTCTAATAAAATGTCCTCAACCGTTAGGTAATGTCTAACATTGAATTGACCAATAGATTGTTCTTACTTAGTAGATTAAATCTGAGGAAATCTAAGAGACAGAAAAATCATGATCAATCAAAACAAAAAAAAATGAAGATACTATCAGAGGTCATTTTATTGCAATCAAACATTACAATACAAGACTTTAGAGCGCCTATCGTGTCTCATAAATACCGTCTCATAAGAATAAATAGCAATTTGCATGCATCACAAGTGTTTTTCGCGTTTGGTTATGTTAGATAGACCTACTTGTTAACCAACCATTAAATTCGATAAACAATAGGACGATCGTCTGTGCCCAGTTTATCACTCCTCCTATTCACTTTAATAGAGAGAGGCACAAGAATGAGAAAAATCACATTTAAGCTGTTTTCTCCTTGTATTAATATCACCTGCAGATCACCGCGCCATTGAATAATTACGTCGCTTGACTTGCTTTCCGCGAGCCCCCCTTTTTCTTCATTTCTCAAGCCGGATTTTCTTTACACCCCGTTTATTATTAGTGTCATTATCCATTTTTTACTAATCAAAAGCATTTTACATCGTTCACATTGCTTAAATAAGTTCTAGTCAACAGTTTCGATCTACGCGGGTAGATTGAATGGTTCTTTTATCTTAATTGACGTTTTTCTGGCGGCTTGTTGCACTTCTACGTATACACGGAAGAAGCGCATACTGTCAGATCTGCAAACGTTTTCCAATTTGACTCTTTCCATTTCCACTACAGCTTCGCCTTTCATTGTTCATTGTTCATTTTCCACACTGTTTCCATATATAATTTAGTTTGCTTCTTGTTGCTTTTAGTAAATACTACTAATTCATATCTTTATTCATATTATTACATAATTATAATGCGTATTTTCTACATAATGTACAGATCATTTACACAGCCAAGAGACGACGGTCGCTAACCAATCGCGCATTTGCCTGGCGAGTGACGTTAACTCTGCCACGGTGGTGGCTGTAACAACCGTTGCTAGGTGCTGCTCTAAATAGTCAACGCTGAAACTGCTCTGAAAGTCATAACCACTTAAACTCCAGCTGTAATAATAGTCCACTAAAAAGGTTTCTTTTCCCTGAAATTATTTCCAAACAATAATAAGAGCATAGCATTTTTTCCTTGGTAGGTCAAAGAAGCATGTGACTAAGGTTCCCTTGACTCCGTTTAACACAGTTATACATTTACTATTTTTGAAAGTTTTGAACTGAAATTTCTACGCACAGCCGGTACACCTCTTCCGAGTAATTCGAGGCCAACTGACCTAGGCGCTGTGGGTAACTATTTAGTTAACGGTCCTCTCCCGTTTGTTTTCACCGGCCCTATTAGTTTTATGTGAGAATCTGCTTCCTCTTTGCATCCACCCTGATGAAATCTAGGGTTCTTCAATTTCTTTTAAATAGTCTCTCTTCATTGAACGTTCGCCGTCCCTCTTTCATAAAATTATCTCGTCATTGTTGTCGTGGCCACTATGGTTATTGTTGTTATTGTTATGGGTGCTATTATTATTATTGGCAGTTGCCGTGAGGCAATGGACCTCACGGATGAGTTGATGGGCAGCTTCCCACGCGAGCTCTTCTTCTTCTTCTTCACGATCACTTCGGCCAACAAGCTTTCGCAATTTTGATATTGCTCCACTCCCGACTGTTACTCCGTCAGGTTCCGGCTCAAACTCGGAGGTGAGCTTCCCTAATTGGTCGATGTGTAGTAATTGTAACGGTCTGAAATGTTGAATTACGGCCAAAACAGAAACTGTGTGGTTAAAACGACTTGATGCGTCAACCAAAAATGCGGCGCGATGACTCGGAATTAAAGTGGCCTTATATGGATTAAACCTTTTGAGATTTTAGACATGACATTTATCGCGTCGTTTACTACTTACGTACGCCTTAATAAATAGTGTTCATATTCCATTCAACCTGATTTGAATCCACTTTTTATGTTTACATCTAATGTGTATATATGTGTCAATTAGTGACACATGTTCCTGTGATACTGTCCAAGGCTGACGGTTTTACCTGTTGTGAAGACCTCCATTAGCCTGCTGACCCTTTCGCAGAGTCCCTGAGAAGCTCCATGAAGAGGTAACTTTGTCGTCAAGAAGACTGTGATCGCCAGATGCCCCTAAACACCGACTACCGCCTGTTGGATCTGAAGATAAACACCGACTATCGCCTGTTGGGTCTGAGGAGACGCTTTCACTCGCATGACATCTGCTGCCCGCAAACTGAAGGCAAAATAGAGTTGGTTAACTTATCACGGCAAGTTCGACAATGATAATATATTACAAATACAGTAAAGAATATTTCTCATTGCATTATGTCCCTTGGAATTATATCACAGTAAATCAAGCTATTGTTCTTTCATTTACCTGTTGTGTGCTCGTACTCAAACTACTCGTATCACTACAGCTACTACAAGTGTCTCTTTCACGTTCCGGACCCCGTCTGGTCCCATGACTAGCCCGTTGCACCGTCTGAATGCATTCTGTGAGAAACTTCTGATAAAGCGGCGAGTTGAAGAAAGCCTGCAATAGTGGAAAGATTTCACTATTAATAACAGACATCAAAGGTAGCGTAGCATTATCATAAATCATGCGCACTGTTTTAGAATATATATTTTGGCTAGCATCAATATTTTGCACTCATGACAAAAGATTTCATACTCTGAAGTGTATCCATGTAGGAACATCAATCACTTACTTGTAGAAAATTGTTCTCGAGGTACTGGACAACAATGGCATAAGGTAACGCAAATGTTCGTGCATCGGGACCGTCCTCGGAACATATAGCCTCCTCTATCTACACAAGACAAAAACAGTATAACTAATAACGGTGTTACCAGAAATGATTTGAGTTCTCAAGGCCAGGAAAAATTCGCGTGCAGTTATGCCTAACAAAAAAAATTGCACCCACTAAGTAGGCACGACGCCCCTTGTGGGGTAATTACACAAGGAAAACCACTAATCCCGGAAGCTATGAAAGACTCAGCACTCAGAGTTGGCCAAGGTGGAATCATCGATGATAGATCCTGGCTACTCCATCCAACGTCTGATATTGACCGACCATATTTAAAGAATACGTATTTAAACGAGAATTCGAGCAAGTAGAAAGTAATCAGTACGGTACCGTGCGTTGATAGAAAAATGTAAAACACTAGGTTAAACGGTGACGAAACTTGCTGTGTCCTATTTTTACTAACCTGACTACGCATCACACTACTGAATCCGAGTGGTGTGTCAGCTTGTAATGAAAAGAATTTTCCGTAAATGACCATGGCATCTCTTTGCGCTTCTTCGGCGGCGAATGCGTCGGCAGCTCGCGTATGCGATGCGAAATTCTCGGCAACAATAAGAAAGTCAATGAGAGGTCGGATGCCCATTTCTTCACTGAACTCCATCAGGTAGAAGAGACACGCATCGTTGGCTAAGATGTCAACGAGCCCCGGCCCAGCAGCCATTGCTGTGAGTACGTCGATTTGACGCTGTGTGTAATAGGGACTCCTGACAAAGTCAGTATATAGGTCGCGTTCCATTTGATCAAATACGCTCCGTTGAGCCCGTGCGAAACACGTCCATTCGACATGTGGCTGAGATATACAGGCCAAAATTTCTGCGCGAATGCCATCCTCTAGTGGAATTGGCTGAACGGCGGATGGACCGATGAACTTATTATAAATGTGTAGAGCGTCTTGGCCGATACCTGGCAATTAATAAACACGATATTCAAACATACCGATGTCGATACAAAAACTGAAGCCAACTGTGTCTTGCATTTCCTAAGAGAAGGTATTTGACTCAGTTTAGGAACTAACTGTTGAACGAGCACCCGTAATGCAAACTGGCTTAATCAATCTTGAAAATATTATTAATGATGAACATTCGAGTATTTTCTAGTATCACACTGAATTTGAATTAGTGTGGTCAACATGAATACGAATGCCGTTTTACAAAATGGGAATCGACGGTTTTGCTGAATACCTAGCATAATTTTCAAATATTATATCTAACTATATAAACAGTTCATATATGCGATATAGATCGTCGTATATACGACTGCCACTCAACATGTAATCGTTCTATACTCGGCTGACGTTGTAAACTGCGTCTTGTAAATCTGCATGTACGGCACAGTAAATGGCGACGATAAGTCACCGCTGACTCATATACTTTAGTCTGCCTGGCGTGATGGCTGTGCCACCTGGCGGCGATTTCCTTCCATTGGACTAGTTCGACGCTTTGTGAAACAATTTTTTTGTTGCATAGGTTTAGTGTAGAGTGCAGTGTTTAGTATTTCAGGTGAAAATACTAATGGGAAACGTTGCTATTAAATTATAATAATTAAAATTAATACTCTGTTGTGTGCGCTGCACTTACCCAAAACTCCTTCAAGTGTTTTAAGTTGTTTTTGATTGTGATATCAATTAATTTGTATTTTAGTACTTACTATCCGTGTAGACTGGAGGCACAAACTCTTTTGGAGATGTATCCTTTGGTGAATGGATTGCTGACGCTGAGTCTTCACAGGGACTGAGTGGGTCCGCTTGTAGAGCTAAAAAAGAAAAAAAACAAACCAACACAAACCTGGAAAATCGTTCTTTGGCATTTCCCAAATGCGCCTGAAGGGAGCCAACGTTGAGATGGAAAAAAATGTACGAGTAGCACTTACGGTCTGAAGGTCTGAGTAGGGGCCTTCGTGCTTGCCCCTGTCGTAAAACTTGACTGCTGCGTTGGAACATATCTGACTCTAGCCAGAATCGTAGTAGGTGCTGCATTCCACGAGTTTCCATAAATTGGAGAAGATACGGTATCGAGCCATTATCTCTGAGAAGTTCAGAAAGGGACTTGAAGGAACACGCCTTCGTACGTGGCCCGTGAGCAGGGTCAAAATCCGATTCCGCTGCAGGATCAGAGGAAGGAAAATAACCGTGATAAATGCAGAACATTTCAAACATTGCGCCATGCCTCTCTGTGGATGCTAGCATCCTAACAAAACTAAGCACCCTCCAGTATCGCAATTAAAAGCAAGCGCTTTACTGGGAGACTTTACTTACTTTTGAGCACTCCATCCATGCGTTCCTGAGGTGTTACCTTTAATTGTTGGACCCCACTAGCGACGGAGCCCCCCGCAGCCCTTGATGCTCGCCGTAAGCCGCTGATGCCAGCTCGGGCACCTCGGTTCAATCGCATCTCCATTGAACCGAGGCTTAAGCTGCGTTCACCCAGCAAATTCATCCCTGAACCTCCTAGAGGCCCTGCAAAAAGAACCAAACTTAATTAAATTTAATCTTGCATATGCGGCAAGACGAACTTGGATAAAAGTAATTGTTTTACCCAACGTACGTTGATGTGCATCTAGTCCGATTCTTTTGCACTGGCGAATAGTAGGCAAGCAAATACAATGAGGTGGTTGTTGTACCGCAAAAGCTTTACCATATACAAACCACCCAACCAAGCTGCTACACGATATATTTTATTCAAGCTTCATACTCTTCGCAGAAGCTTATCTAAAATACCAGTGCTTGAATTAGTTAACCGCTTAGTGATGCCTCACGTAAAAATTGGAAATCTAGGTAGAAGACACCCAGGTTTCAGGCTACTTGAAAGACGCAGAAATTACGAATAGATCAATACTCGTATAATCCATAAACTTTCGATCACTCTCATAGAGTTTTGGATTACGCACTTTTTTAGCTCTAAAAATAATAACTGCGATAATCACCCGCATTTACGTGTTAGAGCGTATCTGTAAGAAGAGGAACTTAACTTGTCCGGAGCTAGGTAACGGGCCCAAAATCTCCAATAACATTATCTACATTCTACTGTCAGACGAACTTCGGTAAATATATCAACCTTTTTAGCTATCTACGTCTATAAACTAGCCGAATATCATCAGAACCACTCAAATGGCAAAAATATCACTTAATACAGAAAATGAATGCTTAGATATTGTGCTTCTGTTTCTTTCAAGGTGAAAGCACTAGATTAAAATGCATTCAGAGTACAAACATAAGTTGTTATCACTGCAATCACTTAAAAGCAGAAATTGGGAGATCGAAGACCCTAGAAGAGATAACTAGAGAAGGCGTTGCAGGGATCAGAAAATAGTTTGAATAAAATAGTGTACGGACATTTATACATAGGATTTATCAACATACTTATTACGAAGTTTATCTCAGAGACACCCATCATAAAGAAGTACAGCAAAAAACTGGATTCCAGTTAACTAAATTCAAGACAAGTAAAAATTTGTGCAATAATCATCAACGAAAGATCCACTTGAAGCATACTGTCGCCATTGACTACACACAAGTAAGTCTGTGCCGCCCCTCAGAAAAAGCTTATATTCTCTAGACTGAAGTCAATGCGCCCTAAATGGGTAGCGTGATGTATTGTACCGTCGATTTCATCAAACAAGCGATCGATAACGAGAGGTATAGTAATGCTAATATAGCTGTTAAACAGGTCCCAGAAGGCTGATTTCTACTTCGGGTTTCGATACACAAGTATCGATGTTTTTTCTTTGTTTTCTGACCCATTGAATAGTTCCTGAAAAGCACAAGAAAAGCTAACTGGTTTTACAATTTGTTTTGTCTTGCTTTATTATAGCATCTAGAATTCACTATTTGTTTTGTTGTAATACTGATTGTGTGAATTACTAACGTGTTTGATATTACCCCAAAGTTTAAGCTCCGTTAAATAATGGTTTACTTGAAGTTTTGTGTTTTGTTGACAGTATGTGCATGACAGCTCTGCGACGCCCTAAACGTTGTGTTCATTTTATTTAACTCAGATACGGGCAAAAAGGCGCTCTATCGTCTTCAGGCTTTGCGAAGTACTACTAACGCTTGTGAGATATTATGGAACAACCACTTTTTGCACTTCATGTTATCAAATGATTAAATTAGAATCTGATCTTCAACCACGCGTATCCAAATTCCGCAAAATCTCGGTTTCTTTTGGAGGGACTGACCGATTATTCACAATAATCAATCCACTCGACACGAATTTGTCATACCTTTGTCAAGAGGCAATGAAACACATGATGATACACTTAAATTAGGTTGTTACCGACTATAACAAAATAATCCGACGTACAACTACGATAGCAATGTATGATGACAATCAATGCACGAATCCCTTTTGCTCTTTATCGCACAGTAAATGGTAATTAAACATGGGTTTGTCGTATAACGACGTCGAATACATAATTGATTAGCACCATTTGCAACATCCTGAACATCGCTTGAAGCATCAAAAGGAATATTCCATAACAATGGCAATATATTCTAATGATGTTAATGTTCCATACTGAAAAAGCAAATGGGAGCATCTTAAATGCGAAAGTATCTTTTGATTATTAACATTGTCCGGATTTACATTATGGTAAAACAACTAAAGTTTTTTTGGTCCCACCTACTTCTCTAACCCATGTTAACAGTAATGTTGTCAACCCACTGTGACCACAAGATCTAGCCGTATTGCACTGACGCGCATGCGCATCGACTAAGCCACAGCACAGAATATCACTGCGTAAGTGTTCTTGAATCAATTACATCTATATTTATTTGGCTGATATCACCGACTTTTACACCTATGCCAATCAAAAAAGTCGCTAGACCTCTTTTTCAACACATAAGTGTACCCAATTTGGTGCTCGATGCGTGAAAAGACGAGCCTGGCGTATATCGTAAACAATACTTCACAGTCCCTCTTCTGGGTCTGCTTGGCCCGATCCACGCTGCGAAATGAATGTAGCAGTACACTGTCCCTATGTTTAGTTATACAGCCAACAACGCATACAGCCATCGTGAGATGAAGTTGCCGTCAGATGTCAGTTGTCAGTGAGCATAGTTACACTTCGAAAAGCCGCGTTAATAAGTATCGGAAAAGGGGACGGCACTTAATCTCGCATCAATTCATATTTATGACAAAATAACCCACCAAACAGCTTACCCACCCCTAGGCACCAATCGACTTTTGGAATTACCAGCAGTTAGGGTTCCATACTTCTACATAAAACACACTCGCCTTTCTTCTTGAGAAAGTTCATCAGGCGTTTGTAATCCTATTTGCTAGACGTTGCCATCATCATGGTATCTTGGCGCACCCGACACAGTGCGTCAAGCCGCTCGACTGATTGTCGTTACCATAGGGCTCCTTACTGTATCGAAGTAGTGGTAGTCGTAAAAGCTAATTTGAGTACCCATTTCACGTTACGTGCACACATAAATATACACATATATATCACATAGAATAATTAATGTGTCTGTTTATCTGGCTGCAAATGATGCCAGACACTCACAAATAGACTGACGGCCCGACAATAGTGTTACGGCTGCACGGATCTCTCCTTCTCCATCACACGATAACAGTGCTCCTGTTAAGCCACGGCAAGACAAAGCAAAACAGAGACCTTTTGCTTACTTACCCTTCACGAACGGTGTTATAATCTGAGCCAAGCACGATGATCCGTCAGGCTGCCAGGATTGTGTTCCCTGGGGAGGAATTCGCACTTGCTTTAAATAACCGTTAGTTGGCGGAACAGTGAAGGTCTGCGCGTGATCGTGTGCAGTTTGTTTGGTTAACGGAAAGTGTCACAATGAATCGTGTGAAGGGTTCAGAATCGGAAGTCACTATCTATAAGTTGCTGTATTTAGAAGCACCAGACATTTTAATTAAGTGGTAATTGAATTGTGCCCGCTTCTCCCTGGCAAGCCATTCACCGCTTAGTGTTAGCAGACGACGCTGTTACACAATTTGTTTCGCCAGCTAAACGAAAGCAGAAGTTGCCGCAAATGATCCTCTCAAATTTAGCGGTCGAAACATCAACTTTTAAAGAGAAGCAGAATACGCATCTATCGTAAATGACATGCTACTGAACTTTTTATCTGTATGGGAAGCTTCCGCCCATAAAATCTCGAATTGGAACATTAATGTGGTACCGAAGTAATTATTAAAATATGAAAGTATGCAATAGGTGTAGCGTGGATCCTATTTTAACACGTAGTTCCCGTCCTATAGGCAGACAATAAGGTTGCTAGAATCTGCTTAGTTTAATCGTGCATGTAGTAGGAGTGTTAGCGCATTATTTTTTTTTAACATTTGTGACTTAGCGGGATTAATTAACCGGTTTTTCATTTGTATCAGACTATCCTAAATAAGCTTTTCTATCAAATATACGTATCTAAGTAATATCCCTACAGCTCTAGGATATCTTTCGCTAATTTATGAACCGAAAAACAACAGATGTTTACATTGCTTGGAGACGTTTCTAATAGTGTTTTAGCTACGTGTCCTCTTCATTTTGGAAACGTCAATTGGTTAGACCCGAAGGCTTAGCGCATTCCCCCACCACTTGGTTTTGTTAAAGTAGAAAATTGTCGGAAGATATATCCATTCACAACTGAAGTAAATCGATTTCCGAGTAATAGTAATTCTATCTTTATCCACTTAGGCTCATATGCTTGGCAAAAATGTTTTTTGCGTCTCTAGAGCATCGGTTCCTTTGAATGACGGTCAAACAAGTAAACCGACCAGCGGGCAGAAAAGAATTTACAGAAATGATTGGTCGTTGTAATGAAAATGCCTTCCATATTTGATTAAACTAACTAAATAACAACGTTTTATTGTAGGTATAAATAAATATAAAAAAAGGCAAATATCTAAGATTAAAATTAATACAGAAAACTACCAACACAGCGCTAATGCGAGCAAAAACAGTATAATAATATAAACCATATAGCTTAAATGCTTAATAATCATTCCCACTACAACTAACCTATGTACTAGAGGATTCACAAAATCCTACACATTGTAAATTGCACATTTCATCGTTTCCCTATCTCAGTTTTGTGGTATTGTATTTTTTTCGGACCTTTATAATATACTTTTTTAGAACGTGAACCCACCTTTTCTCATCTATTTATTTAACTCAGATTTTTCAAAAATGCGGGTAACATAAAAAGCGAAAAAAAATCAACTTCTGCCTCTAACGTTAAAGTTGGGAATAGTGCGTGTGGTCCTCTTTTGCTTTATATGGTATAGATGATAATGAACTTCCAGCCTCATACTTTTGCTGTTTTCTAAAAATAAGCACATTTTTACTGAATCGTACAACTGTTTTTAAGTCTGTTTGCCGCGCAGTGTGTTAGTACGCCAGCATACGTTTCTCGTGAGCCCGTCGTCATCGCCGACAGCGCCGTTGGCGGTATCTAGCCGAACTACCACATTCGAAATCCAAATCTCTTCATCATTTCGAGAAAAAAAAAAAGGAAGATTTCTCAGCCAAGGATTTGCTAGTGCTGGAGAAAACATGAGTTCGCTCTGACATCGAGCGGTTATCGCCAGTAGGTAAATTGCACAGAGTAGGTATTTTCTGCAATCCTTCTTCCTGTGATATTGGAGCCGTGTGTTTATAATCCAATGCAAAGTGGTAGAAGTAGCAGCGATGCAACAACTGTGGCAGTGCAAACAAATGTTCTCTGTCAGCTGTGGATTACCTCTTTCTTGGCGACCTATCCTCCGTTCAATAGCTATCTATACTCAATGCTGTTTCTAGTTGGCAACCAGTCGTTTGTGATGCTTAACAGCTTACGCACGAAAAATCCAGCCCATGCGGTTACAGCTCATAACCGCCTCAATGACAGCTGTGTAATGTTTTAGAAACGGGACTCCGCCTCGTCGAATTAGAGCATTTTCATTCGTAAAAATAAAATACAAATTTTAGTTAAGAGTCATTGCGTTGCGTGCCTGTCAGAACTTATCTACCTGGTAACATATGTTGGCAGATATAGACTAAATGCGTTCTGAAAATAGTAAATCAAATAAATACCTTTGAAACCGGTGATAAATATACGTGTTGCGCTGATAAAGAAGAAGGTGCGAATAACTTGCTCATCATTTTAGCGATTCGAGCTTTCATAATTGTTAGTAAGGCAAAGATGCAGAATGGTCTCACGATTTTATTTACCACAAGCTACAAGTATTGCAATGACAGACTTCACTATGTTTATGGTTGCGTTCGTTTTTGATGCGTTTCTTTAGTCTCTACGAAATTCGCGTTTGCATATCACGATTATTTCAGCTTTGCTTCTTCATATACTCAGAACATAGTGTTTATTATGTAACTCTAACATGCATGCATGGTAATGTAATGTGAATTTCAATTATACGTTCTGTTTTTAACTAAGTAAGATGACCGCTACACAGCAGTGCTTGACTAATTATCAATAGAAGGGCCTAGAAAACCGATTTGCGTAGGCTGAATTTACTAAAAACAAAATCGAGACGTTGACTTGATATTATCAACACATGTTAATACTAAGAATGTAAGCACAGCTCAATTAGAGCCTAGTTTTTGTTATAGTAGTTGGTAAAATTGCTTTAGTTTTGATTTTTTCCCTTCATAGTGCAAACCAAGCGTGCGGAGATGGAGATCGGTGCGGTGCCAAATGAGCTGGTCGCTCGACTTCGGGCCAATATCGCGTTTTGTGGATTGGATCTAGAGAAACCTGAACATTTGACTATTTGGCAGGCGTTTACCGAGGCCCGGGCCCCTGAACGGGAGCCACTACAATTCACAAATGTATCACTCGACCATGTATTCCCTCAAGCTAAAACGAAGGTAATGACGCTTGGTGTCTACAAACAGTTATAAGATAACAAGGTTACCCTACGATTTTTCGTTCAAATTATTAACGATAGCGAACAATTCATTGCCAAAAGCTGAACTTGAGAAATACACAAACCCGATGCAATATGTTAAAAAAAATACTACAAAAAAAATCTTATAAACGTTTGTTGGATGACTAGGGCGCCTGACTTAATTCCGTAAAGTTTTGTTTCTATTTTCAGAGTATTTGAGCCCTTAGTTTCAGATAACCATGCAGTTACAATTAACGAGCACTTCCGTCTTTTGTGGGGTATCAAAGCTACCGAGGCTTTAGCCCTCACAAAGCAATGCTTAAATTGATTCTTGTCATTATCGTTGTTTGGTTTTAGCGCACGTCATTCGAAGGATACGTTGAGCGGGGTATTTTGAAAGCAAACTGGCTCATAAAACACACCCGTCTAATTCCGGCTGTTGGTGTGTTTTTCTTTGATCTCGACTGGGATGAGCCAGACTTTGCAGAGCGAAAGGATCTTGCTGCCCAGAACCTTCTGAATTTCAAACGGAACCTTTCAGGAAGGTAATATGTCTGTGGCTCATTTTACACAAAACATACTAATATTGAGCCTGTTGTAGCGTATAAAAAAATATAGTGCAAATGTAAAGCTCGTGAAAAATTCCTTTTTGGCATCACAGATTTATATACGATAAAACTTGGAAATCGCTTGCTAACCATTCACTTAGACATTTTCCCCGTTAAACTTTTCTGGTAAATCAAACATTTTCTTTGATATATATTTATAAGATAGTATATTATATAAAAATGCACTTAATTTACTATATTAATCGATTAGGTTTGATGAATGGTAAAAATACGATCTTTAAGTATAATTACTTCTTCTTCATATTTCTCTATACATTTTAGGGATAGCCGATTATGTTTAGTATTAGTGCAAAGGCGTGCAAGTTCTCCGGTAAGCGACAACAAGTTGGCAGCTGAGCGGGCCCACGAATTAACGCAGGCGTGTGAGATTCCGCTCAAAGCCTTGTTCGTTCTACAGTATACAGAACACTTGCTTGGCTTCATTATGAGGTAAACAAAATCGCTTTGGGAGGCTAGCGTATTGCACTGACCATGCTGCGACAGTCAATGGAATTTGATAACTTTCTAGGCAGTCAGATTTGGCAGGCGTGTGCAGCAGCTCGATCAGAAAGTCCAATTGCTCGAATGCGAAAGAGCGTGTGAGGAGAAGCTTGTTAGAGTCTATTCCCTGATTAGATTGTACAGCGTAAAGATTCTTGATAAAATAAGCCACACTTCATGAGGTTGCATAATAAGCAGTTCCGCTGTTTTTTGTACCTCAATGCTTAGACTAGAGACAGCGATTATGGAACAAGCAAAAGGCTATTATTCCGCCGAATATCGTCGTATGGCTGGACAAAATCAACTTGTAACCAAGGGTACCTATCAGCTTCTTTGTATTCGACATCACTTTAAGATGGCAACTTTTCAAGAACTCAAACAAGATGCCTCGGTAGCAATAAAGTAAGTACCTCGATCAATTTCGCATCATTAGGAGAATGGTGTATATCAACAAGACCGATATACTTACCTGTTTGATCTGCTAACAAATATGATTAGTGAACAGATTGAGAAGCAGCGGTTGATAGGTTCTATTGTTGTATGTTTTTTGTGCTTTGACACATCCCTTTATAGACACTATAAGCAGGCGTATATATTGCTTGCTGAATTACGTGCCACGGATCCGAATTTACTGGAAGTCAAGACGATTGCCGGAATTATAAATTACAAGGCAAGAACCTTTTTGAGTCTTAGCAGCGTTTCAGCTATCGTTATTTGGCGTGCGTATTTCCTTTTGTCTTCTTTTCTATCGGATCGAAATACGCGTTTAAACGTTTCTACTTTTAAGATATATACATCGTCAATGGATTAAAAAATCGATCCACTATAATTGCATTTGAACCAAGCGATAAATTATCTTTGAATAAAACGCGTTAGCCAAAAATTAACGTTATCGGTTGCGCTATTGTGTGCAATGAGCTTTCCGCAGATATGTCAACTGTACTACGAGCAGAATGCTCCATTGGAGGCGATCCATCAATTGCGAAGGCATATGGAGAACTTCAAGACAACCGTTGGACCCCCCGGACTAGCATTCGAACATTATGCTTGGTTAAGTAAGTTTCATGTCTATTTAACTGTTATACTGGCTGCTACTGAGAGAACCTGTCAATTATTTTGACCATATTTTTGTCGTTTCATATATTCATTTGCATACAGCAACCCAGTATGTTTGAAACTCTAGAATTGCTATTTGAAGTCATGACGACCTGTTAAAAAGCAACGAGCCGTGTTCAACGTTTTTCCTTTACATATTAAATATATCTTAATTTAAGTACCGCTGCTGAGTAGACGGAATACTTATCGCTGTTTTCTACATGCAAGCGTTTCTATTTTTTTTTGTTTATTGAAACTACAGCTAAACAGAGTCAGTTATTCGGCGATTTGTTCGAGTCGGCAATCCGTCGAGGTCTTACTCCTATCCAAACCCAGCATCCCGGCTTCTATTATTCATCTGCCGCACAGTACGCCGTACAGCGAAAAAAAGCTGCGAGGCAGCTTTGTCAGGTAGATGATGTAATTCTAGTATAAATAGAATTTAACCAGTTCTGACAAGTAACTGCTTGCAAGTTAGATTTGTGTCCCTATCATAGCATAGTAGGTAACGTGTCTGTTTACCTGCTAAATTTTGGAACCCGTGGTGGTCTAAGTTTGACTCCAGGAGTTAATGCGCTTCGTTTCGCACTTGTAGCAACGAACCGCCGGAAGTCATACCTAACAGCTTTAGTACTAGACACGAGAAACGCGAAAAACAAATTGAGATATATATTTTGCAAGATATAAATGCTCTCTGTTAATGAAATTGGATCTACAAAAATATCATACAGTAGCATGCTGTTTTACTTCGAATGTAAAGCTAGACCAGCAGCAGAGTAGAAGTACCGTTTAGATGCTTTACAATAATATCTTTACATTTTCTTTACTCGCATAAATTGTATAACATCTATATGCCATTAGCGGGACCCTAAACAACAATATATTTTAGTCTACTTTGGCATCTCGTCCAAATTTCTGTTTCGGTCATACGCAACTGGTCGCAAGCAGGCTGTCACGACATATCCATCGCCGGATCCCTTGTCGGGTGCCGATCAGGTTCCTTACTACGGTCAGAGGCCGTGGCGGGCAGCGGCTGCGAAGGGCGAAGCCCCGGATCCGGCCCTTGAAGAGCTCGCTATCCGAGCTCTGCAGTATAAGGAAAGGCAGACCAATCATTCGGTATGTGTGACGTATATGTCGGGATTTGGCATTGCCGACACCGTTAGCATTGACACGATATCACAGTCCAATAACAGTTCCTTAGAGCAGTTAATACTACTCGTAGTACGAATACTTCATCCCAAGTGCTTGTTGGTAGAGGTTGAATGGCATACAAGTCAGTCATTTTTACAGCACAGATAACTGTAATACTGCCCTGGAATCCTTTGTCCTGGGTAAAGCATTTCCCTATGCTGCTAAGGTAGCCATCATTTTTTCGGTAGGCTGTCCATTACAAAAAATAGTTTTAGTAAAGGTACAATTTAAAAAAATGGCGTATTATTTGTGTATTTGCAGAGTATTATTATTCCGCTTCTGAGTGGCGCCGTGTCTCAGTTCAAAAAGTACAAAGGGCCCCGAATCAAGCGACATCAAAGTGAGCAGAACGATTTCTTTCGACATTCTCGAATTATATTTTTGGAACCCGGCACTGCGAGAAAAACATTTTATCGTAAAACTGACGTTTTACTAATTTTCTTTCAGTGGTGTTGCTGGCAGAGGAATATGCGAGCAATTCAGAGCCGGACAAGGCGTTATCAATATTAATGCATGTTCTAATCGACTTCAGACAAGAACGTTGGCCGCCGCTCCTGACACGCATTCTCGGTACAGCCTTAAGGGTGGCGTATCTTGCTGCGAATCCTATCCATTTCCTGACACTGGCTCTCGAGTACATGGCGACTTGTGAGTATGAGTGTAATGCATAAAGCACTTGGCTAAACGTTGCTCACTGAATTTTAATGCAAAGAGTTCTATGAATTGGAATCACGTATTTTCCACCTGTTGTACAAAGGCGCATCATAGCGACGTCCTAGATCAAATAAACATGAACCAGTTATCCTCTGCTGTAACTTTCGCTGTTGTGAATATAGTGTGTCGTATTACCAAACCCTGTAATGTGTACAACGTCACTATAATGTGAGTAATTATAACATTAGTTGTATAAAATGTTCCCATAGGGACGGATTGTACTGCGGAACAGCGAGACGGCTTGTTGAAAAGCGTTGCACGCCTATTAGATGGCCAACCACCGGGTCGGCCATTCACTGACCTTGAAGACACTTCTGGCCTTTGGACCGAAAAACTTCAAGCGTTTAAAACCAATGGACCCGTTCAACTGGACATGGACAAAGTATCCGCGTGACAAAATAAGGCCATCAAATTACGTCAATTTTTATTTTTTTCTGTGTGATCTGTTACGGCGCTAACCAATCAGTATTCATATATATTTTCCTACTCCGTGCATCTCTGACAGGTTCGATCGTGCATTTATTGCAAGGCGTATTTTAGCTCACCGTCGTATTCTTCGAACGAGACAATTGAGCTACATATTTACGTTCGGTCCCAGTTGCCATTTGACGTTAATTTCATCACTCGCTTCAACGTTCATTTCAACCACAACGTAAGTTAGGAAAAAATAAAAGCTAATTCGCCTGCTGCGTCAAGAATAGCCTACCAGTTATATATGTAATAGAGACCAACCCAAATAAACATCGTTGAGATTATTAGGTAATCCTTACCATGGAGTGGTAACAGTTGCACGACTCAGGCTTTTCTTTTTCTGGTAGATAACAAGGCGACATTGTAAAACTCCAAAATTGTTGATATCCGTAAATTAACAGCAAAAAACGACTCAGTTTGCTCATTTTTTGATAATATTGCCTCCGTAGGTGTACGATGGACAATGCTCAATATCAGATAACCGCGTTCTGGGCCTTGTGGCCGGCAGGACGCACAGATTTAGTTTCACATTTCCCGCAGGCCAGCAACACGTCGGTACCCAAATTAAGGTAGTACATAAAAACAAGCCGTTTTAATGGCATTTAATGTTTTCTTTGATATTTTTTATATCTTCGTACTATTAGCAGTTCCAAAAAACCTACGCATGAATCAAAAGAGAAGCAGCTTCTCTAGTTAACAAGACAAGCGGAAATTTTCGATTCTCACGTGTCCCAAAAGCTATATAAATGATATTTTAAAATTCATTTGTCAACTAAAGCTTTTCATCGTGTTCATTTTTTTTTCATGTTTAGTGAAAATTGGTGAATTATCAAATTCAAGTTAATAGATACAATATATGCATGCCCCAATTTGATGTCACTGACAGAAGGGGGCTTTACGAAGACTACATTTAGTTTATTTAGAATTCATAGCATGGTCTATTTTTCTGACAGGTTGTCGGTGTATCGATGCTACTGGGTCAACCCGAATGGGAAGGTCAGTCGTATAAGCCTCTCGTACAACTAAACTGGACGGCCGCATCATTAGGCACGCACTTCTTTCGCTTAGCCTGGGACCCAATTCCAAGTCGGGCTATCAAACAGCACCGTGAACAGGATTTCAAAGAGTTACCGTATCGTCTCGTAGCCAGGTATGCCAATAATGTGCCATGCCGTGTTTGTACCGAACAAATCAAAAGTTGTTGCCACGTTAAGCTATGCTGTAATTACACAAACAACGAACGTATAAATAGTTTATTTTATCAGTACCATATGTTGTAAAAAGAGCTTTTTAGCCTAGATTTCTACATCTTCGCCTTGAACCTGTACACAGTATTGTGCATCGCGAAGCTCGAATGGCTGTTTCGTGGTCACTAGAAACTCCCGCCCTTGTGGGAGAACTTCTTCCTGTACGGATTCAGCTAACGAACAATGAGGCCGGTGATATCGGAAATGTCAAACTTACACTTTTTACGGCTGTTCCCAATAGTAAGTCAAGTATGTACCCAGCTTCATCAAATAGAAACAAGCCGTCATATTCGAATTTAATTATAATTATAATAAGAAAAGCTAAGGCGGGACGAATCATGTTTCTGTAAGGTATATTTTAGAAGTAGAAACTTAGTAAATTTAGAACACAAATTTGTTACATATGTATATTTATTCCAAAGGATTTATATTGCTATATATTTATACACATATGTTTTGATATATATACAGCTATTGTGGCCCTTGACCCTTCGCTGGCAGCTGATGCTGGTCCGTCAGTAACAATGGACATACCGCCAGTGCGATCTGGGGCTTCTCAAAACATCGAGGTGTTTATCAAAGCTGCTGAGCCTGGCACTAGGGAGCTCGAGTTAACAGCCTTCTATGAAACATCGCTTGTGCTGTCGGAAGGCAAAAATGTCTTATGCAGGTAATAATTTTTGCTAATATACGATTTTACTCTTTTTTATTTTAGTTTCGACTATATATATCCTCATATTTTTTCAATCATTTATACTATCCTACCACGACGGATAAGCTTATGATATCATATATTTTATAGGTGTCATAAGCAGGATCGGCATAAGCTTGAAGCTGCAGTAGCGTTTTCATTGGAAGGCCATCTACTTAATAAAAAAGTACGTTTTTTAAATATATAAATTGTAGGAATGTTGAAAAATACTTATTATGATAGGTTTTAGTTTCGTATTAACTGTAACAGGTATACGGCAAAGGTCGATCAAAATTATTAACGATTAAATTGATTTTACCCGCTTTTACCACAATACGTTGCTTCACTGCGTTCGAGTAATTAATGTCTTTGTTAAAATAAAGAGGAGAAACAATTATGACAGATGCTTAGGTTCTTGTTTAAAAGAACAGTTATTCAAAAGAGATGGAATTACGAGCATTAAATAAGTGACAAAGCACGGAATAAGGTTCTCTCTAAGGAAAAACGTTTTCTTCTAAAATTATTATTTCTGTTTAATCTAGTTGGCTCCCGTGTCGAAACTTCATGAAGGGGAGCCTTTCGTTTTGGCCGTCGACGTATCCTGTATAGCAGACGGTGGAACGACTTTGCTGTTAGGGGAAGGCCAATTACAGCCTGCGGCCCATGTGTCAATAGCGAACAGCGGCGATGCGATGCCTTCTAGTGCGTAGACTTGTGAACCTCGGGCGTATAGCAAGTTTAGTTGAAGATACATTATATTTTCATTAAGCCCACAGCGAAATTTGAAGCAGTGAAAAAATGTTAAGTTAATTATAGCTACAAATATATTCATTGCATTCGGAATTATTTAATAACAAGACTAACGTGGATAACAAGGAAGAATCTAATACTAAGTCGTCGTTGACAGTCTGTCAGTACCGTAAGTGTATAATTTTCTTTCATTTTGGATAGCAAGCGCTCGATGATGACACTAAATAGCCTTGTATGTTCGCAGTCCCGAGGTCTCAAATGGAAGGGGTCCAGCTCCGTGCTGGAGAATCAGCCCGTTCATGTTATACTCTGGAGGTAACCCCGCCTGCCTCAGGAGATCCACCGGCTCCGCTTGGTCACTACCGTTTCTATTGGCGCAGGTAGGTCTTTTAGAAACATTCGAGTATCATAGACTAACAATGTATTTGGTGAGTATCTTTATCAGTATGTATTAACGCAAATATTTAGAGTAATCTATAAAGAAACCGCGACGTCGTAAGGTATCAAGTATTAGTGTCGACGCAAGAATCCGTCACCAAAAAAACATTCCAAAGCGTAAACAAACTCTGCATTTGTTCTACGATCCAGATTCTACGATTCAGATAAATATGAAGATTTGTTATTTACATAGCTTTGCTGTTGTGTTATTATAGGAGTTCTTACGCTCATTGGAATTCCGCTCAGCTGACTCTTCCGGCCCCGGTCATTCTCTCATGCCCCTTATCGCTCTCTTTAGAAGCTCCAGCCCACGCCCGAGTCTCAACTCCACTATACATATCCTACCACCTACGTAACCGTAGTGAACGAGTTCAGGAGCTTAGTCTTCAGGTGAACTCATCTGAAGGCTTCATGTTCGCTGGTAGCAAGCAGGTTAGTAGTTGCAGATAAACAGCGATACATTTGCTCAGACGTATTCCGTCGAAAGACAGGAAATAACCATGAGGCGACGTTGCTTTTCAATCATACAAGTTGTTGGTGCTCATACGACTCGAACGTGTTCAGTCCTATATGCGAAATAGATTATTTTTTATTATGCTAGCCAAAATGTGCCCGATTCAGCCAGTCAAAGTTAGCTGACATGTGATAAAGAGCTAAAATATGTGTATCTGTGTATGTATGAGCGTTTCTCGCATGCAATAACTACTCCCATGTGTAAATAAAGTGTGTTCCTGTTTTATTCGCAGCTATCGCTTCGAATTGCCCCGGGGGCTGTAAAGCGGTTACAGTACACGCTATACCCGTTAGTCGCTGGTTACGTGGCGCTTCCGAAGTTACAATTACTGCTCGATCCTTCGGTTGCCCCCGTGGAGATGGACTCGGCTGCACGGGACATGCTTCCTTCCTTTATCTTTGTTATGCCACATAGTAGAGGGACCCGAAGCCCAAGCTAGGAGTGCTTCGTACACTAGGATCGCCCAAATGCACCACAACTGTCATTATGCCTTATGCCCCATCTTCGATTATTGATACTCGGCAGTCAGTTGTGTTTAACAAAGGCTCAAAGTATAGGAAGCCACCATGCTATTATAGAGATGAACGATTAAGCTATCCTAGCGCCGCAGCCTGATTGGGCGGCGCTAGGACAGCTTCGAATCGATGTGATCTAGGAACCCTGACAATAGGTAGAATCCAACATGTCTTATGCTATCTTATATATATATATGTCAACTGATATGAAGTAACTGCTGTAATGGGAGTAATCGCTAATTAATTACACGTCCGCTATGGTGTACATGGTTAGATTTTTATAACATTGTTTTTCAAAAAAGACAAAGATTTATAATGTAATGTTTGTTTGTTTTTATGGAAAGTAGTAGTAGATTAAAAAAGCCACATTGCACTTAATAAGGAAGTATTTTAATTTGATACGGTTATGCCTTTCGTTGGCTAGTTGCAACATAGGATACAAATGTCTGCTGTCCTAAACGAATCAGTATATTCTAATTTTTAAGTTTGGAAACTTATTTTATCGTTTACCAAAATAGGAGTCGCATACGAGTAATATATACGTGTATACATGCAAGGAAAGTCAACTATCCACTATTTTCTGATTGAATATCAGACACAGTATTGCAGAAGTTCGCGTTAATTATTTGATAAGATCTACCTTATTGCCTGAATATTACCTAAATTAATAGTTACCTAAATATATATTATTATATTACCTAAATCAAAAGTTTTGGTATCATCATCATCAAGAACTATGATTTACTGTAATTAAATACTTACCTGGCCAGTGAAGTAACTGTTTATGTATAATATAAAGGTCTGCATGCAGATATGCGCTACAAAGTTGATGCGCAAGTTCTATACAGGCTTCGGCTCAGCCGGAGAAGTTGAGTGGAAATGTATTGATCCTACGGGAACCATAATATACGGCAATCTAAATAAATATAAACTAACTGAAAACAAATTTTGCATTTGCAAATGCAGTCATTTCGATCAATGTTAACTTCTGTTTATTGACACATTTATATTTGTGTGAGCTTACGGCGCCCAAATATGAGAAAGATAAATTTTTTGAAGCTATTATGTCGACATTCATAAAGCCTGCCTCCTTAGAGCAAATGGCCTAAGTTTGAGACAAGCGCAGTTCTATCAAACAGCTAAAAGATAAGTTTAAAACTGATTTTTAAACTTCAGTTTCTGGCAAGAAGTCTTCCAGAAAGACGCATGCGCGCAAAATGAATTGCAACTGTAGACAAAAAAAATTCCTAAGCTTGTTCAGTAAGAGAGGGATGGACCGATTTAGAAAACCTAAATCATATTGACATATGTTCTTATATATCGAATTCATTCAACATATACATTTCTGTGTAACGATTCACAACTGTCTTCGAGGAATTCTAGCTTGCTATATACATCAACATAAACAAGACACTTGAGCATAAAGGTTAGGTGCATCTCTACGCACACGCTTTGGTTAAACCTCATGAAGTTCTGTCGAAGTGTTTGAGTATTACTTATGTAATACTGTAGTGTGCGTTATAAAATTGCCTACGACGGCCTTGCAATAAAACTATGTGTCGTGTTGAGACTCCTGCAGGCTCGTCAGGGTAGTCTTCTATTCAAGAGAAGATACCTATGTTTTTTGAGAACTACCATTATTCTAAATCACGTAGCGCAAACTAGAAGAGCTGTATTGTTATGATCAATATTGATAATACGGTTAATAATGAAATTGCAATAAATTTAATCATGTATTAATATTAATTGTATATTGTTTACTTTCCTTTAAAAGCCGCTGGGTTATTTGTTGCGCTACGTTTAGTTTGGACGGGCTGTACATACAATGACATATGTACATATCGGCAGAAGAAAGCACGCCATTAGGAGCTTCTATAGCCATTGAAATTTAATTCTGCTGACATTTCCAGTAATCACCTTTCGAGATTTTTTCCACGATGCCTGTCTTGGTGCCTTTTTACATCACCTACCCTCTGCACAACTAAAGTGAACACATTGAGGCCTTCAGAATCGAAGTTCCGACTTATTTACGCCCCGAGCAACCCCCCAAAAGGCATGCGAAGTTAATGTCCGCCTTGTGTAATCCGTTAGGTAAGTTCGTAGAGCATAATATTATTGCGCCTGATCTATATGCAAAGAGATTACTCAATATCAGTAACTCTTTTTTGATATGTCTTAAAAATCGTAATCAGAAAGGTGTAAAAACAAATTACCATTCCGCTCGCGATAATTCTACTAATGGTCTCAGTTTTTTTTACCAATGTTATTATTTTTATTACCCAATCAAGTTTATCAAGCGAAAGGGCCATTTCATTGAATTTCAAAAATGTTTTCTGGCTTCTGAAGCAAGAAATAAAAAAATATCAATTTTTAAAAAGAAGTGTAATACTTGTGTGAGTTACAATTAAAAGATCTGTCGAATCAAACATCCGTTTTTCCATCTGCTGGCATCTATGTCGAAATCTCGAATGGCAACCACTAGAGGAAATCTGGCACTTCCAGAAATTGGACTGAAGTTTTCAGGCGATTTACATTCATTATTGTTGGGAATTAGATCTTACCGTTTTTTCAAGATGAATTTTAAAAGACTATCGCATAAACGCTTTCATCTTACACTATGTGGTACAGCTTTACCTTTCTAATCTTCATGCATGAACGGTGCGTGCACTGACAACTATGCCCTAAAATATTCACGTCTTTTCTACTCTTACTCTTAAACCGGCTGTTAATCGTCCGTGTAAATACCTAATTTATTTGTTTGTCAGATACAATTGTTAAAGCTACGACTAATGTATTCTCCTATTTCCGGCGGTCCCCAGGAACAGATCGGTGTCGGTATTCGCGATTAGGTCTCATCCTTTGCACTTCACAACCAGCCTTAATATCAACGAAAAAGCATATGTCATCGCAAAGTCACACGTCACTGATAACAATCTCTAGATATTTCTTAACCAAAATTTATACGCCAGCCGCCTTAGACTTTACCAAACCGCATGAAAAATAGATGAAGAAGTCCGGTCGCTCGCTAAATTCTTCTAGATTTTTTTGTCATTACTTATAGCATAACGTGTTCACCTATTAATCTTAGAGATACGCTGTGGTCTAGGTTTGAGTCTGGGCATACGTACACTTCATCGGGCCAGAATGCCTGATGGCAATACTGACGTAAAAGCTCGAAACATAAAAAGATTTAATTCAAATATTAAAGATTAAAAGATTAAATTCAAATAAGAATCACTGATCAAGAACATGTTTTGATTATTTTGTACTTAATGTCAGCCACACAATTATGATGTTTAACATAGACCCCAATGAAATTCACTGAGCCCCAGTAAGATGAAATTTATACGTTTTGAGCCCATCCCTCTAAGATTTAGGTCTTTTATGCATTTACACTATTATTGTTCATTAGATCTATTTTTCTTTGCTTACGGTGAGAACGTAAGCAACTCGTTAGTGGAAGCGAAGTTTAAACGAGAGGAGAGCAAATACTACGGGAAAGCCTACTCGGAATCTGAAGCTGGCTAAAGGAAAGAAAAAGCAATTCAAAATGATATTTGGACACCGATGTGGAACTTACCAAAAAGCACTCTTTGCACCTACTGGTTGTAGCTAGCTGGAGAAAATAATTGCCAGGCGGATTTGAATACGTCTTGAAGTGTAAATAAATTTGATGCATCTAAGTAACGATCTCAGACTAAACCGTCCTACAAGAGAGGTGTGATTATTTTTATCACGTTTAGTCTAAGTCTCTCATAACAATGTAATGAAAGAGAACGTATGTCTATTCAAGGTATTTTGTCGCTTTTTATTGTTTTGTTCTGATTTATTGCACCTAAAGTTAGGTAGTTTTTCATTATTTTTCCTTAATTGCTTACATCTCCCTTTCATACGTTCTAGCGTATCGTTACCATTAATAATAATAATAATGATAAAATTAATAATAATAATATTGTTATTATCGTTATAGTACAACACACCGGTCGATAGATAACATTATTATAAATACAGAACATGGCACTTGGTGACAAGTTTAAACAGAAGTTCCACCGAATTTCTAGCGAAATGCGACGGATGAAGAACGTCAACAGTAACTGATACAACAGTGTTTCGGGTTCTCGGTAAAAGGATTCCTTACTACTATAAACAGAGTGTTGCAACTGATACCGATTTCCTGCTGCTCAACTTACTCAATACATATTTTGCGGGTTAATTGGAATTGGTAGAGTTAAGGCGGATTTCTTGTGGCCGTTTTTCTCTTGGGAAAACACCGTGCAGAGTAATGGTCTGTCAACAATAAACAGTTCGAGTTATCTTCTGGTTCACATCTATGAGTCGCTAAAAAATTACTTAGAACATATAGGCAAATGCATCTACTTATTTTGCAAGTTTGCTATAAATTAAAAAAACAGAGCAAGAGAAAACAAACAGGAAACTGGCATCGTAGCTACTTGCAACAGATAGGCAATAAATTGCATTTGAAGGCAAATATATTTATGACAACATGGTTATCCTTTTATCCCACAGCTTGACATGATTTATGGCGTACACTTGATGACGGTCGCACGATGAATGGTTAACTAGTACTGTTCTCCCGTGCTGTTGCGTAATGACAAATAGTGAAACTTGCAAATGGATAGATCTGAGAGAACTTTACTTTTACCATTATTAGTTAATTATATCTACGGCGTGAACATCACGTTGTAAACATATCTAGCTTTTTTTGTTTAGTTGGATACAACTGTGTGTCACTTTTCACTCTTGATTTCCCCTCCTGTAATCGAGGGTAACTATAACTGTACAAAATATTTACCCACGTCCCCATACAAATGACAGCAGCAGTGTACAGTTGCGCTAATTGTCTACTAATAGTTGTTAGATTGGCTAACGAATAGGTAAGCGTGCTATAGAAGGAAACTGCAAATATTCCAATCAGTTTTCGAACACAATGTCTCTTACAATATATATATATATATATATGTATATATATATGTTTCGTATAATTCAAAAATAGAGGCCGGCGGTGTCGCATGCGAAACGAATCTTAGTGCTTAAATATCCGTAGTGTTTTGAGGTAGATTTTGTTTGGACGTGAAAGAAACGACTGTCCGTCCAATGTTATCTGCCTTTCGGAACTGTAGCATAGATGTTATTCTCAGTCAGCATATGAACAGTAAATTTAGAGTCTCCTAGTTTGTCTATCTCCTAGTAGTTATCTATACTGGTCGATCTTCTTAGTCTGGCAAATATGAATGTACACATATTTGCATTTGAGTTTATTCTAAGCTATTCAACTGAATGAGAACTGCCTGCCTTTGGATCACATATAGATCGAAACTCAACTGTATGCATGGGAAATGCTTGCTCATATATATATGTTGCACAAGCCTGTGTGCCTCTTTTTGACTGCTACCAAAGCCAGCTTGTTAAATAACCAACACTGAGGAGCTTGCGCTAGAATATTTTCTCACTCCGCGTACTGGACACAGCTAAAATGACAGGTGTTCCATTTATTTTTTGCATGTTAACTATCAATAACAGGTTCCTTTTTGTCTATTTGCCTTACCCGCCATATTTTGCGCACAGACACTATTCACAAGAAAATACAAAAAAACGTATACTCGAAAAAATTGGCCGGTTTTCTGACCTTCTACTAATACTAGTGTTCAGTAAACTCAACTGGGTTGACGTATCTTATAATTTCCCAACGAAACATTAAAATTGCTACGCTTCCATCTTTTCTTTCTTCAAAAGATGGTAACATCTGATTTGACGAGTATATTTTCGTTTGTTATATATCCACTTCAAGTTCAGATGAGTCAATTAAAAGTGACTGATTTTAGTACGCGTCCCTTGTCTATAAGGACCCAATCCAACCGTGACAATGACCATACAAGCCGTTAGTAATTGCCGCGAAGATTCTATAGTACACTCTCGACCTGTCCAACCAGGTCAGCTCTATCGGTATAGCACTATGTACCGTTCAAAATTCAATACCCAATAAGCAACATTCAGCATTACTTAAGACAAATGCGTTGGCAACCATCGCAAAAACCTTCCAAGGTTTACGTTTTCAGCTCATTCGCCCTTTGATATGAATATGCTTACACAACTTCACAGCGAAGCAGACATGTATTTCCCATAGTGACTCGTTATTCAGCTGCCGAGAAGAGAATGCGGGACGGGCAACGTGTGCATGTCGTTACGAATCTAAAGGTTCAGAGTACTAGCAGACCCGCTGGACTGGTAACACTTTTACGTACCTAGAATTGATTATTTTTTTGATGACCCTACCTTATCTACTTTTGCTTGAAGGCTCGTTTAGTGCCATTCGACTTTGATGTTTCATCCATTAGTGGTCAGAAACATGCACGAGAATTCTGGACTATGATGATAAGCGTTGTCGGTCATTTTTGCCTGTTTGCCGTTCGTTCTGGGAGTCGTTTGAACTATTGTTGCAGCAGCAGTAGTTGCCTCTAAAAATTGCGTGTCACAGCAATGATATGCGCTTAATGCAGGGGTGGATATTCTAGCATACAGATTTAATTGAATAGAAATGCAGTTTCTATATTAGGGTGCTCGTTTTTCATTCGGGCTCCTGCGGCATGTGGGGCGGTTGCATTAGGCCGATCTGCGCGACGATCTTGCCTTCCCAAAATGGCAGCACTTGATTATCGTCCTTGATTTCCTCAAAAACACCTTGAGCGTTCAAGTCGTCCATAGGTCGTTTGAAAAAGTATCTACAAAGCACATATATATATAAATGTGAAATCAGAAAAGAACAACCTGAACAGCTTAAAAATATGTTTGTCTCCAAGTTCTTTTTACAACTATAAGAGTCTTGCAGAAGCTACAAGGACTATCGAAACTGTGTTTACCTGCTGATGGGCCTACCTGCCGTCTCTTCAGTCCCTCCAACACACCTCAACACGCCATCTATACTAACAGCAAGTAGTAGCAATACCATGAACCTTCATCAATAAGCGATTGCTTAAAAACAGCTTGCTAGGAACTACATATTCCAGAAGTTAACAGGACCGATTTAAAGCCAGAAAATAAGGTAAAACTATGACTGATCTATTCGAAAGAAGGTTAGGGTTTAGGCATTCCTGACTATCAAGACAATAGGTTAGCCATCAATGGCACCTAAAACTACAAACCTAAAGTTGCCCTTCTTAATGAGCTGCGCCTTGAAATCGCGTAGCCGAACTTGTCGTTGCGAGAGCCTGATAAAATACGGAACCGTTTCCCCAGCATATGTGTAAATGATAGCAATTTCGTTGCCTCCCAAACTGGGACCATTTGATGTCGACAGCGCCCCCTTCCTGAAAATAGATTAGAAACATCGATTAACATAAACAATTAATAAAAAAAGATCAGGGCTGAAAAAATTTAACTTTAATACGTAACAGTTTTGTAAAATTCTTTACGATGCTCGTATGCACATCACTATCTAATAGGGATATGACTTATATGGAATAATAGTAAATGAAGAATATTAGCACAATTATTGAAAATATTTAATCTTTTTTATCTCTCTCCCTCTTTTTGTGTTGCTAATCTCACTCAGCCATCTGAATCTTACTAAATTTAATGATCATTCAGTGTAATAGAAGATCAATGGAACGCCAACTAGCGCAGACGTTTTTGTACAACGTACTTTTTCTTGTCTCCGGTCGCACCCGACACGTTTTCATGGTTTGATCTACAGGAAGAACGATTCGACCCAGAACAGATACTGGCTTTGCTTGCTTTGGGTTTCACATTAGCTCCTCCAGCCTCTGCACCGGTTCGGTTGTACCATTCACGGACGCTGCATGCGCACAGAAGCATATGTAAATGTGCAAAATTAGTATAGCAAACATCACACTTATTCATTGTATTTCTCATCGTAATCCCAAACAGCATTACTTGCCACTGCTCTGAGAACTGTTTTTTGAAGAACGACGAGTGGGTTACATGAAAGTTACCTATTAACTTCCTATTAAATGAGCCAAGTACATATTTGGAATCTAGCAGAGTAGAGTGGCCAATCTCTTAAAAGACCAACACTAAATAGTTGAAGAAGAAAGAATATACATATAAACTTTGCCCTTACGCGTCTTGTGCGTTGTAACCAAAACCGGTACTTTCGTCGGATGTACTGCCATCGGATAATGGACCCTTGGGCAAAGTTAAAGAAGCGCCTTTTCCTCTAGGCTGGATCCTAGGTACCGCTCCTGATACAGAAGCTCCAGAAGGCATGAAATTCTGCATAACGCTATCAGCGAAGTCCTTTACTCCGGGAAATCGACGCGTTGCTACTCGGGATGTCTGTTGGTGAGCTGACTTGTTAGGGCCACCAGAGCCTCGTAAACCTCCACGACATGGGCCTGCACCAGGTGAAGGGGACCGCGGTGTTCTAACTGGGGGGGTCTTAAACACGCGTTCGACATGGTCATCCAGAATTGCCTGCGAGTGCTAAAAGCGGACGTAGGAAGAAATGAACAATGAGCATATCTATAAACATTAGCTAGTTAATTTGGCCCTAATAAAATATTACCCGATTTTGTTTAGGTTAATTGTCGTATTCTCGCAAAATATGGACGGCCTCTGTATGCATCACTTAGCGCAAAAAGCTTACCTGCTCGTCTTCCAGTCCTGCAGCAGGTACGCGCCCCTGTTCACGGAACTCTTGTTCGCGGACAAGAGGTATCAGCTTTTGGCAAAGTTTTTGGAAGAACTCTCCGGGTTTACGCTCTGCCAAGTGCGATTCTTGAATATTGGGAAACATTGTTCGAGGAATAACTTTGTCACGCATGGGATCGCGTATTAATTCACCCCCTGGCGGCCACGGCCTGTAATATAAAGGCCAAAACAAGGATAAAATTGTGATATCATCCGGTGAGATTTTGGTTTAAAATGTTTTTGCGTTGTCAACAAGGGTAAAACAACACAGTACTGCCTTTAATTAGGCAAATATTATGAGCGCATATTTCCAGAATAAAAGTACAAAGTCTCTTATAATCTATATACTCAGTCTATTGGTCTCTTACCCTCTTGCACGGCGGCGTTCAATGTCATGGTGGTGCGACGCCCGAGGTAGTTGTTCACTCCGCCGTGCAGCAGCGATAACTGTGTCGCAATCGCTCGTCTCAGGATCGAAGTTGTTGTTGCCTCCTGAAGACATGCTTTGCATATCTGAATTGTACGCCGTCGGCGGTACAAACGCTGAACTCTTAACATGATATGGATTAGGGGGTGGACGTTGAGCGCCTTGTCTCAACATTGACTCTCCGTAGCTCATACCAAGCTGGGCTTGACGTTTCTGTCGCTGCACAGTTTTACTCTGAGGTGGAAGTGGCGGGGGAGGCCCATGGTCTGGCGGCATTGTACTGACCGCCGCATATCCGCGCGGAGGCAACTGGTGCTGCAGCGAAATCGGTTTTCGCGCGAGCGTCGTAGGTGGAGGAGGAACAAAAGTTGCATTTTCTAAGTCTTCTTCGTGTTCCAACAGTGTTGGCATTAAGCTTTGTTGCTGGTTGGGCTGTTGCTGGTTATTATTATTGTTGAGATTATTACCATTATTGTTATTCGTGTGTTTGCTATAATTACTATCACTGTTATTGTTGCTGCTGATATTGTTCGTATTGTGTAACGCCACGATCGTGGAGGGTCTACTATCCTTGTTGACAACGTGAAGTGCATCAGGGTCGTCTTCCGAATCTGAAGGGATGGACACCAATCCGCTGTGGTCGTGCTCGAAGTCAAGATCATCTAAGTCGGGATAATCCTCATCGGCATCTCCATCGTCGCGGCCAGCGGATCTCGAGGCTCTAATAAGCGACTCTTGTTCATTCGAGTACCGTTGCAGATAATCGATGTATAAATCAGACTGGATGAAGCGAGCGAATGTCGTTCGCATAATGTAATCCTCAACCTCCTTGCGAGCAACGTCGAAAATATCCGGTTCAAGGGGTTGCTCCCTGTTGCGGATTTTGCCGGCAAGAACATCTTTCACTTGATCCGATAGTTGTACGACGCCGGTCTTTACGTACCGTTTATAGATGGCTCTTGCTTGTTTATCCCGATCCTGCTGATCCTCTTGCACCCTATAATACACGAAACGAATACGTGCATAGCTTAGTCGTTATCTATGCTACTCGTTAACATTGCATCTATAATTCTTTTAGAGGTTAAGTTAAATTAGATTTTTCTAATAGAGTCCTTTGTTTACATTCACAAGCAACATTGTCTCATGTATTTTAGTTGGTTTAGAGCAATAACAGATGCGTTTTTTGTTTCATACCGAAGTCCATTGCAAGCGTAGACGAACATTAAATCGGATTCGTCACAGTTTTCCTGGCGCAGGTACGTTTCGAAGAGTTCGCAGCCTTCGTCATCGTTAAGCAGTGTCTGAAGATCGCGTGCCCACGATAGGCAAGCAGGTTCCATCAACGAACTCGACGTCTGCTGTTGAGGCGGCGGCTGCGGAGGAGGTTGTTGCAGTTCATACAGAAGTCGCGCGTCATGAGGATGAGGATAATGATGATGTTGATGATGATGCTGGGGCACGGGCCTGGGAAGATGGTCAGATTCCGGCGGCAGTATCGGTGCCAAAGGCTTAGCTGGCAATGGCTTTCGACTCTGCGTTGCAACCACCGGCGGATCCTGTGCTGCACCGTGCATTGCCGTGCCAGCCTGGCTAACCATTCTCTTCATTTAACGTGGACTTGGTGACGCTGCAATACTGGCAACGCCGGACTGGGCCGATTTCGCATTGTGTCTGAGCCTGCGTCTGACGTCGAACTGAGCACAAGTTCGTTGTCCACACAGGGGTGCCAAATGATCAATTCTGCTACGTACAGACGGACCTGGGGCAACAGTCCAGAATTAACGAAGCTCGATTCTCTGATCAACACAAATGCGTCTCGCTTACGGATCAATACTGATCTGAAAATCACCCAGACATATGGGTAACGTTAATGTAGACACGCATGTATATTCTTATAAGTGACTGTATATGTAAGATGGTCTAAATAACTGTGGTGCAGCATGCTTATGTTACCCTTACTAACGACAAAAGAAGCAGCAGTATGTCCGTTTACACTGAAAAATACGAACATACACGGAGTGAACTATGCAAAACTTTTTTGACAAAGAACGTCAAGAAGCTTCTAAGCCATCTTTTCGTTTTGATACCAAGAGTGAGGATTGGAAAAATGTTCTAAATAAAGAGCCACTTGCATAAAAGCAGTTGCAAAAGCAACTCAGAAACAACAACAGAGAAATGATAATACTCAGTGTTAAAATACGTATTGTATCTTGCTTTTCAAGCAACAATCTAGTTAAGTTATATTCTGTTGACGTTCTTGCAACTGTGCATGAAATGGATATATA